CTACACTGTCACAACTGCACCTGTCCTGGAGAATTATGGGTCCCCTCCATTCAAACCAGAACAAAATATTATGAGAGCAAAGCCAGATATTCAGATAAAGGAAGCGTATGTAAGATTTCAAATTTCAGTTTTATAAACATGCCTCCAGATACAAGGTAAACATGTTCAAATCAAATATAGCTTTTACTGATAACAACTGGAATACTGATTTATTACTAATTGCAAAAAAAAAACCAACACTGGTCAGGTTGTTTATGTTACATTGTGGTGTTTTGGTTTTCAAGGCGATTATCCAGTTGGAAAACAGAATGAGTCAGATCAGTCTTTCCTTTATGTTGCTAGTTTCAGTGCTCAAATTCAGTTGGTTTAAACCTAAAGTGCCTCTCTCTCTGAATCGTCACTACCTAAACTCAAGTATCTGCACACAATCATGAATCAGAGCTAGTGAAATTCTGGAGGTTTCACATGAGGTACGGCCTGTCCTGTCCATACATTGAGAAAGACAAAAACTTCACAATTTGTAGCAAAAGAAAATGTTGTCCTATACCCGGATTAAGTCAGAACTAAACCAGGCTATACTCACACTTATCCTGGTTGGATCCTTTTTTAATTCCATTTAAGTCTGAATGTAGACATGGTTTGGTCCTGTTCTAGTCCTGGTTTAGTTCTGGTCTAGTCCAGGTTTCGTGCCAGTTTTGATAAAATGTGTGCGTAATAGGGATGTAACAATAACCGAAATATCATGATATTGTATCATCAAAGTTCTCACAATAATATCGTGGACCATCACAATATATCGAATTATAAGTCTCTTTGCTTAAATTAAGAGTTATGGTGCAGTAATATCAGTAATAATAGTAAAAGTAATAGTAAAAAAAACAAACAAACAAACAAAAAAAAACAAAAAAACACACAAGAAACTACATAGACCATGATCCTTTGCTCCATTTCAATGTATACTACATGATGAAATAACAGTTTTAAGCACTACTAAGTTTTAGTTCTTTGGATTAAGTCTTGCCAAGGCATTTTAAGAGGAAAAAGTAGCATATTTACAGTTTGAGCTGTTTAGCCTCTACAAAATATCGCAATAAATATCGTATCGTGAGATGTATATCGTGAAAATATTGTACCGTGAGACGTATATCATGAAAATATCGAACTGAGAGATTTGGATGCATCTCTAATCGTGAGCCTCCCCACCAATAAATATCGCAATAAATATCATACTGTAACGATATCGTATTGTGAGATTTGGATATCGTTACACCCCTAGTGTGTAAATATGAATGCATTATAATTAGGGGTGTCAAATTATCGCGTTAATTGCGATTAATTAATTACAGTCATATTTAGCGCGTTATGTTTTTTAATCGCGTTAATCTAATTTTTATTCTCTAACTTTACTGTTTCTGTATGCGAGTTGCTTTATTATAAAACCTGTTTTTATGTGTTGTTGGGACAACAACAACAACAACACACACACACACACACACACACACACAAAACACATTTATAATTTTTTTTATTTCGGTAATTCCACTCATTGCCGGAAACCCACACAAAACGCGCGCAGTAAGAGCGATGTAAACATTATGTTAACGCTGGCGGCCTCAGTCGCACAATGGACGAGGTCGAAGAGCCAGTAGAACAGAAGCAGCAGTGCACAGGTAAAAACACATTCGTGTCTTGGAAATTATTCTCCCGAAGTGAAATATAAAAGAAAATAACAAATATAAAATCGCCTACAACTTAAATGTCACTGGTGAAAACAACCTGCATAGACTCATGATGTCTGCACTACTGTCCTATAGTGACCTGCCACATGAGAGGACACGCACACAAACACACACAAACACACACAAACACAACACAACACAAACACACACAAACACAAACACAAACACACACCTTCATCATCGTCATTAACCTGAGAACGCGCGGACCACGTTTCCTTCCGTAGTTACTGCGCGGACAACGACGTGCTCCCATGCGCCGCGTGTGGATCGTGTTTTCTCGCGTACGCGGCGTAAACCGCGCTTCCTCCTGTGAACTAACACCAGAACTAACACCAAGACTAAAACCAGGACTTATCCAGTCCAGGACTAAACCAGGTCTAAACCAGGACTAAACCAGTCCAGCACTAAACCAGAACTAAAACCAGAACTAAAACCAGGTCTAAACCAGGTCTAAACCAGGACTAAACCAGAACTAAAACCAGGTCTAAACCAGGAATAAACCAGAACTAAAACCAGAACTAAAACCAGGTCTAAACCAGGTCTAAACAAGGTCTAAACCAGGACTAAACCAGAACTAACACCAGGACTAAAACAGGATTAATCCATTCCAGGACTAAACTAGGACTAAAGCAGGTCTAAACCAGGACTAAAACAAGGACTAAAACCAGTGATCTCATATATAAAGCATTTCTCTATCAATAATATTTTTAATATGGTTAAGGAAAGACTGGACTTTTTATTGTCTTTAAGTAGACAAAAGTTATTATGTTTAGATTTCCTAGTCTTTGCTACTTTACAGCAAACAGTTTCTTATTCATGGAGACTTGGGCTCAACAGCCAATTTGGAGAGATTTGTTAAACAATAAATGACTTTATAAAGTCACTTTTTTTAATCTATATCAGTCTTTTGATCTGCCACAATAATGTAATAATGAATTTAAATGAAAATACCTCAAATTGAAGGCTTTTCTCAGCAATTTTTAGGTGAGATTAAAATGAGATTAATTAGATTAATTAATTACAGATCATAATGAATTAATCTCTCAATTTTTTTAATCACATGACAGCACTAATTATAATAGGTGTAAACTAGATCTAAACTTAGTCTAAACTTGAACTAACCAAGGACTAAATCAAGACTGAACCAGCTATAAAATATAACCCAAATCAGGCGTAAACTGAAACTAAATCAGGACTAAAACTAAAACTAAGTAAATCAAAACCTGGACTAAAATAACAAACCACTACTTTGTCAGAACTATGTAACTTAGTATTTGAGAAGTGTGTGTCTGTTTCAGGGTTATTTTCAGTGTGTTATCAAAGCCTCTCCTCTTCACTTTGTTGTTCAGGCACTTTTTCTTGTGACTCTTGTTGTGAGATTGTGAGATGTGTAATTTTTCACTGTGCGCGTCTCAAATGGAGGCGTCGCATCCTGACTCACTCCAGTTCAAAACAGACCGTCAAATATTCATTGTAAGAGTAAAGGTTAAAAGGATCACTGCCTATGGGATTTTCAACCCAAAACCCTAAGACAAGATCAGTGAGTCACTAGTGAGGAACACGAGTAACATTGTACTGTTTATTCTCAGACAGTGGTGTAAGAAAAATGCAAAATCATACAAAAATACTGCTACTGCAAAATTACTGAAGAAGTCAAATAAGTATATACAGTTGTGAAATGTATTACAATTATAAAAATGCACTGCCACATATTATCTCTATGCTTCCTCTGAAATATTCCATAGCATGACATTAAAATGGTCAATAACTCACTACTGAGGGATAGGAGGAAGGGACTTTGTACTGTTTATTCTCAGACAGTGGTGAAAGAAATATCCAAAATATTCTATAAAATATTTTTACAAGGGCCCTACCGATATATTGGTTGGGTGATATTATTGGCCGATGTGGACACTTGGAGACATATCAGCTATCGGCTTAAATCTCGCCGATATGGGCCGATAGTCCACGTGGGCATGTTATACCTCGTTATAAAGGTTAGATTCCCTATGTTATGTCAATTGAATCCAATTTACAGACAGATAAATGTCCTAATATGTGGTGCTGCATCAGTATTTATCTGCAGAGTCATTTGTCTGTGTGCATGACGCCGTACTGCCCCTGAATGCACCCCTAGAGTCACGTCACTCATGTGCACTTGTTTATAAGATCCATGTGCACAACACTGAGGCGCTGCTTTAATTGTCATTCTGTACTGATCTACAGTACAGAATGTCTGATACAATACTGATGAGAAATAAAAGCGAACTTCATTACAGTTTAAACCTACAACAAAACTACTGCTTGTTTCTTATCAAACTTATTAGTGCAGACTTGCGATCTGAGAGGAGCCTGTGTGAGCGCTGAGTGCTACAAATGTGTTGGTAATGAAGCTACTTTCTCACTGCTTAGTGATTAGCTTCTGTAGCTCCCACACATAAACAGCCTGTTTTCTCTTATATTGGCCTAGTGTAAAGTGACTATAGTGACTGCATTGATATGCAAATGAGCTGTGAATAGAGGTGTGAATGGTCATCATTTACACATATAATTAATTACTGAACACGCAAGCATTTACCGCTAAAGACTAATAGCATTAGTTTACTTACTCTCTTTACTGGCTAGAATGTCATGCAAAAATGACATTAGGCCGACCTACTGTCTTTAAATATGACTGTAAAGAGGCAGAATAACAATAAATGTAGTCTAAATGAACCCAATATTAAATCCAGTAGAGACCTAAGATTAACAATCAACTGAAGATTTACAGTAAATTTTTATACCACTAAATATACTGGCTTTTATATCAGCTATCAGCACCTCCAACTCCCATTTTATTGGGATCATGTTGGCCGCAAAAAAATCCATATTGGTCGGGCCCTCATTTTTCCTATTAAATTATTGAAGTGCTCAAATAAATGTATGCAATTATGAAATGTATTACTTTTGTAAAAGCCATCACTATGAAAGTAATCACTATGCTTTGGAATGTTCCACAATATGACATTAAACTGATCTACCTTGCATTTATTCAACTGCAAATGATTTAATGCTAAAATACCATGGAGATAGATACATTTAAAGCCATACTAAGTAACATTACAAGCAAAGTAATAACATTTCCATGAAGACAAGTGTCCACCATCAAAAAAGTTACAGTTACAGTTTTTACATCAAATGTCCTTCCTTTTACCATCTTATACGATCACTGCAGTCGGATATTGGGTTTATCCACTCTTATATGATAATCTTTGTGTTTACCTGTTGTGTGGTTCCCCTCCGGCCCCAGGCTGATTTTGGCGGTTCGATCATGTGACACCAGTCTGGCTAATCGCAGCCCTTCGTCCATGAGCGTCTGCTGCATCAGATGACGGCTCCAGGTCGCGTGATTGGACGAATCGTTGTGTGGGCGAGGAGAAGGCGACTTGTTACACTGTGACCCTACGTCTAAACAAGAGGAGAGCATTTGAATGATGGGATAATGAACCAATCACAATGCACTGATCAGTTTTTTCAATATATTCTAGTGTCAACTCTCCTTTCTGTTTGAATGCACGGAGGACTGGGCACATACTCTTTAAATGTTCAATCACATACATTTATTTGTAGTACATATCCCTCAAATGATAGTAAATCTGAGTAAAAAATGGGCAACTCTTCCCAAAGTTTTTTCTTTCTTGCATTGCTCTTTTGGACATATATATATATTTTTTCAGAACAGCTGTACCTAATAAAGTGTCCAGTGTCTTCATGCGATTTATTTACCGTGGGAGACACTGTCCAAGCTCTCTGCTGATAAACTGTCTTCATCATTGCGTTGGTTCAGATTTTCTGGACCTTCCACTCCCAAAAGAGACAAGTTTTCAGGAACCAAAACCTGGAACATGTCACAACATTTGGAGCTGACAATTTATTTTGCTAAAGCTGGCAGATATTTGTTAAATAAAATATATTGAATATGAATAAATAAAGTATTGCTACTATTAGTGCTACAGCTCAAAATATTCTACTGTGACTACTATGAGTATCGCTATTAAAAAAACTCTCCTCTACTGCTCCTTTTGTTAATACTAAAAGTGTTATTATTACTAGAGGGCTTTTGCTATTACTACTTCTACTACCACAGCTACTTCTGCTAGTACGACTACTACTTTCTTCTGCTAATACTATCACTACAAAACATTTTACTTATATTGTGTATTACATATTTCTGACAAATAATGTGGAAACTCACCTCATGTCTTGGTCTCTTTAGAGGCAGTATGTGGTTCTCCTCTGGATTGGTCCTGGAAATTTAACAAAGACATTTCAATCAATATATTTTATTAAAAAAAATAAAAATAAATTAGTAAAATAATTGTATTGCTTTTTGCCTCATTTGTATTGCATGTCTTTAAAAGTGCCACAGTCCATAACAGCATATAACAGTATATAACAGTGGGTTACATCTGTGAAGTAACTATAACCACAGCTGCCCTGGAGCAGATTGGTAGCCTTGCCTCCGTCAGTTTGCCCCAGGGCAGCTGTGGTTAAAGTTACTCAGCCCCCTCAACTAAAACCAACACTCACAAGGACACACCCATTCATGTTAGGCAAGATGATAGAAGTGACCTGCACAAAGACACAACAACAGCATGCATTGGAGCAGGGTGTAAATAGTCAATAATCAGTTTGAGTCTTGTTAATGGACATGTCTACATCCAATCCTCTGTCAGTGAAAGCATGTGGTTTGGAGCAGAAGGTCAGACTTTGGAGGAAGAAATCTGTATATCTCTTTATCAACCTTTATTTAACCAGCTGAAAACCCTGTTGAGATAGAAATCTATCTTTCAAGTGTGACCTAGTTTGCCATTTTTCTGTTTTGTTTAATTTCAGACAAGTCATATTTGAAGCCATTTAAAGGCCTTTTAATTCAACAAAATAAACAAGAATTGAAAACTGTGATTGATCAGTATGAGATTTTTTTTCTTTGCTCAGCCCTAGAACTGTTGATTGATTTGTGATTTAGTCTGATTGAAGAGTTATAATTCTTAACAGATTACACACAACTGAAAAACATCAAAACTCATCCTTTTACACCAAAATCCTGACACAAGTCTTGAATGGGGACAAAAATTCACTTAACAGAAGGAAAAATAAGTACAACACGACATGATGTTTTAGAGTGATTCATTCCTTTCACTTCAAGTTGGTCCAAGGTTCTTCATCAATACATTTTATTAATAGCACCAAAACAAGGACAAATTCAAGGTGCAATCAAGCTATCACTGCAGGGGGGGTTTGGTCATCGGTTGCTACGGCAGAGGTGAATAGCACGCTCTTCTAAAGGGCTGCTGTTTCCTGGTGTTAGTTGAAGTATAATAGCACATAGATGAGTAAATGCCCATGAAACACTTTGGAACCAACCTGGACCACTGAGGGATTACACACATATAACACAAGGGAATATAAAAGAAAGTACTATAATTTAATGTTGAAAATCACATTCCATTGTCTAAATAAAGACTGTTTTTTATTTTCATTGTGGTATCAGAATCTCAGTATTGAATCTATTCGAAATTAAGTTTTAAATTTTAGTATCATGACACTACTAATTTGGGTACAGAACTGCTTTCAAAAAAAAAAAAATATTGGATCACGATATGGCCATTTTACCAAAAAGCATATCTTCACAGAAATAAGATCATGATTCGATTAGATCACCATATCTCCCAGTCCTACCTGGCGTGTTTGAGCGTGGAGGTGTAGGCACATTTCCGGGCCACCTGTCGTGCCAAAGAGAACAGCTCCACCCGTCTAAGGAGGAGGGCGTTGTCTCGAATACAGAACTGAGCGGCTGCTTCATTTATGATCAACTGAAAAACAAACAGATGTTCATTACATTTTCAGTTACAGTTTCAGTTATAGTTTTATTTGTTTTTCTAAATATGTGTTCATAATAAGACCTAAGATTGACCAGCCCTATGCATTGGTCCCATTAAAATCCACCTTGACCTGCTACTAACTTCTTGGGCTCTTTTTAAAGACAATACAATGGGAGATGTATTTACCTTATTGAAATCTTCTGAACTGTCACTTGTGCATATCGTGACACTTCAGCAGCAGAAACATGTAAACGAGGTAAATAGATCTCCTACTGTATTGTCTTTAAGAAGAATTCAAGAAGTTAATCCACAAAAGAAGACAAACTGAATGTTTTTGGACTACAACTGCTACTACTTCTGTTACTACTACCAATAACAGTACCACTACTACTACCAAAACAAAACCTTCTACTTATATCGCTGATACTTTCTCCAGCTTTCAACAGTGACATTGAAAGATTGTCCAAATGAGGAAGAGACATTAGTTACAGGAACAATAAAGACTAACCTTAACCTACTACAACAACTACTAATTACTACTACAGAATCTACATATAACAAGACATAATTAATAGGATGCTAAGTAAGTAGTTACTAAGCCTGATTCATTCTTAAAGGTACAGTATGTAAATTTCTGGAGATGGCATGTCACCTGTGTCTGTTTCCATGGCAATAGAAAGTTAAACCACACCTCAGAATATTCTCCATTAAAATAGATAGTAGTGTGTTTGACAAAGTAAACTTAAAAATACACAAATGTCTTTCACTTGTTATATTAAAGGTGCAGTCTGTAACTTTTCTGCTTGCCTCCATGGTGATATTACTGTTTTGCTTTAATTATTCCACAGTAGTAACTTGGTATTCACAATGGAGACAGGTTAATTGTCAGGTCTATGGAGAAGCGAGCCTGCACATGGTAAGAATTCATGTTTTGTAAGGTGTTCTTGAGCGATAAAACACCTGTAATTGAAGAAATACAAGGGGGATATGTTTAATGCCCTACTGTGGGACATTCGAGGCAGAGAAATAACAAGCAAGTAGTGAACCCTCCATCTTAGAAGTTACACAATGCTTCTTTAAAAGAAGTTTCTTACCTCGTGATGTGTGAGCTGTTTCCCCTCTCTCCTTTTCGAATCAAAGCGTCCGTAGATCAAACTGTACTTTCTGATCTCCTCTTCTTTGTTCACATCTTGCGCGCCCATTTTGAAGATATGCCCCACTGTCTTCGCCATCTTCTTGTTCATCCTCAGCAGTGTCTTCACCTCTGTAGGATCTGACCTGGGTAGTGTCCTTAATAGTCTATCCACGCTTTCTATCACTGCTTTGGTTGTATCCGGATCCAGCTGACCCCCGGACCAGGCCGACAGAGCGGAGGAGGAGGAGCTGGGCGAGGCGGAGGGCAAGGGGCAGATAGAGAGCAGAGGGGGGCTGGGGGTATCTTCGTCTGGGCCGGAGGGGCAGTTAGCATCCTGGTCGGGGCAGAGCCATTGTGGGTCCATGGGGGAGAGTTTGTCCCGGTAGTGGTGGTCCGGAGGCTGGGGAGAGGGCTGAGAGCACGGGCTCCTGGGGCTTCCACTGTGCATGGGCGTCAAGCAGGCTCTGTCCTCCCTGGAAGAGAAGAGGAAATTATGTCACTTTTTTACCAGTGGAAGTCTTAGGGTTGGGCAATATGACTGTAATATACTATCACTCTCTATTTTGTCTCTATTTTATTTTTATTCTGAGTCATTAAAACAACATCCTTTATTACACAAAATGGACTTTTGTGAGCTTTAAGTGAAGTTATAATGTTGTTACCTCCTCAAAAACAAACCTGGTGTTGTGTTTTGTTTTATTCACACTGTAGTCTGTCTACATCTCCATAGCTCAAAATGCTCCGTTCTACCTTGTGATGTCATGAAGTGATAGTTTTCAAGTTAACAGCTCCTTTTACCTCCTTTTTCCTTTTTGGCAATTCCGGGGCTGAAATCATCCAAATAATTCTAGTGAAGGTTTTGTCAACAAAAAGCAACTCCAGGCAGGTTTGTGATGAGGAAACAATATTACGACAGATCAGAAAATTGAGTAATATGGGGTATTATGCAAAAGCAATTATTTTCAGCTTTCTAGCATGTTATAAACTTGTTCCCTCATTAAAAACATGCCTGAAGAGGATTTAGATGTCATTCATGCATGTTTGAGTAATCTAGCGATCTCTCCCAGGCCCTACTCAAACCCTGCTTACCATTAGGTGCAAGATTCTGTACAATACTCTGCCCACAAAGCCTCCGTCATCCGTGCTCCCACACGACAAAAATACGCTCACTTGACAAACTTGACGCAAATAATGAGGTGCCGTAGTTTCATTAGGGGGGTGCATGCTGATTGTGTTGTGATAGCGCTCTGAAGGGGGAGCGACTTGTTATTTTCTGCAAATAGCATTTTCAAAACAATAAAAGGTAACATTGTGATCTAAATATGTTATGTGTTACCAGCTCATACCCCATAGAAGTAAAATACCTCCTCTCTAAATTTATTTTGAGGACTATTGAACATTCAAAAGATATAATATTTTCATCATCCTGAGACCTATGGCTAAAAAGTGGCCTATAATGATGCTCAAAGACTTTAAGACTTTAAAACTCCAACTTAAGACAGTTAATAAGGCCCAGATGGACCAGTGCCAGTGAACACTTGTGTCCTCTAAAGTTGCTACACATTGCAAGCTGTTTTTAAGAAATGTCATGTATAAATTGTGAGTGAAAATATGGTATCCCCCACACTTCTCAGCTGTGGGAACACTAGTATAGTTCTCTCCTAAGAGGTAAGGCACCTCTTACTGTTTAAAAAAAATAAAATAAAATGCTTTTATAGTTAGTTTTTACTTTAGTCTCCATAAATATATCTATTCATAGCTGGGACAATTCTACACTCACCTTTCACATGGAGACCCCGGCTGCCCGTTGCTCAGACTCTTTCCTGCTCTGGTCCCTGTCCCATCCACTTTAAACATTGGCAGCGCCCCCAGTGGCACAGAGGACATGGGCTGGCTGAACACAGCGGGGTTAGCAGCCCAGTCCCTCAGTGCTTTCTGCAGACGCCGCACGTGCAGAGGTTTAGTGGCCATTCCCACCAGAGCCATGATCTCCAGAAACTCCTCCTCCGCCGCCTCACAAAGCTGCTGCACGTCGTCGCCGCCCTGCTGGATGAACGTGTCGTAGTAGGAGAGCAGATTGGCCCGCTGCAGCACACGGTACAACTGAAGCTCACCCAGGGTCCGAGGGAGAGACATGGCACTGTGGAAGAAAGAGAAATATGGAGTATTTGGACAGAGAATATACTTTTTCAAGGGTCAAGGCCTATCTTATTGATACTTTGCAGTGACATCACGATGGGGGTGTTCTGCATGTATCTCTATTGGCGGAATGTACCAGGGAGACACAATGCACAATAAAAAAAGTTTTAAGATCATCTGAAAACTCAAGAAAAAATACAACACATTTTCAGGCGCCTGTGAACAGTCTGAGCATTCATGGTCATGTTTAGGTGTTTGATTTTCAACAAAAAGGTGGGAGTGACTTACTGAAAAACTGTTGGCTAATACTAGTTAGCTTATGACTGTAATTTTGCATGTGAGAGGCTTGTTTAAGCGCACAAATCAGCTCACCTGTTGTAGTTGCAGGTACACTGGGCCATATGGTGATAATGATTGAATTGTTGATCTCATCCATGTGACAATCTGCTCTTTTGGTGATCTCACTACATAGTGATTCAGTGGTTGTCTGTTTAATGCAAATCTCAAACACAGATAATTCCCCCAGCCCACGCCACCTACTGGCCAACCTCCTTAAGACTCCACGTGAGTGACAGGTGGAATTAACCAACCACAGTGAAGTATGAACTCTCAGAACAAGCAGAAGACTTTATTGACCACTTAAAGGCAATGGATGGGAGACAGCTAGGTGCCATGTGCCACAGTAGTGCAGCAGTAAACAGTTGTGTCCCAAGACAAGGCACTTCACCCACTTCTATTATAAATGTAGTATGTGTGTGTTGACGGTGGTGGGAAGGGCTTATGATGCCGCTGTGGTTACAAAAGTAGCTTACCACCACCGAGTGTGGAGTGAATGAATAATGTGTGAAACTGTAAAGTGACTTTGAGCGTCTGTAAAATCACTATAAGATACTGGGCCTATTACCATTTACAGTTATACATGTTCCAGCCATTGAAGTTTGTCAGTTCAAAGAGTACATTTTGTGTGCATAAACTAGTACTTTGGGTGGCAAGAGCTAAGTTGGAACATCAAATCTGAAAGTCAGAGGTTCAGTCCCTACACTCAACAATGCATTGTTGTTGTGTCCTTGAGCCACTTCTGTCCAGTGTTTGTGTACAGTGTTTAGAGTGTCCGATAGAGATGGAGTAGCACTAATCTAACTAATGTACATGTGGCCATTTGACCTTGCAGCAATTATCTTAATAATGTTCTGACTCACAATTTAAATAAAACACAGACCAAATGAGATGTCTTTTCTGTTTATATGTAATTGGTAAAATTATAATGTTCAACCTTTAGTGACCCACGCACAGATCCCCCACAACCTTTCAGTCCCCACCCACAACTTGGTAATTACAAATGACTAAAAACTGCAGATGCTTGGTTCAGCAGCTGCCCATTGTCCAAGTCCTCACATGTAGGCTATTACATCTATTTTTATAGGAGAGCATATTCATGGAAAAAAATAAAATAAAATAAAAAATAAAAGAACTGTAAACTCTAGTTGACAAAAGTGTTTTAGAGAGACAGAGAACATTACCGAAATTACCACTGCTAAAAGGCTAGGTAAAACGGCACCAAATTGCTCATTACAATGCATTAAATTACGCATTAAAATTACGCACGATGGCACCACACGTATAAAGCCTCGGCAGATCCAACGCTCACCTTCTTTCGCTCAGGTACACGGACGCGCCGAGAGGGGACCGACGTAATTACGCAAATCGGGTCTCCCCAACGAACGATGACACCAACGGCGCGCTGCTACGATGTTCTGACGCGCAAGACGGACAAAAATAGTTTTACACAGGCATTAAAACCTCAAATGTAAACACGAATTGAAAAGAAATGTAAAATTAGCTTAGGTTTAGTGTTATTTAATTACCTTGCAGTTTTTGCCCAAAGCGTCCTCGGATCAGACTGTTGTGAAGTGGATCCCCGTGTAGCTCGTCTGCACCAGTCAGTGGCAGAAATCCTCCGCGGGCGCACCGTATTGGTTGCTGGCTGCCTTTTTGCCGTGTGTGTGGGCTGGAGAATGGCGGGGGCGGACTGCAGCACGCCATCTGACCGAAAAAGAGCCTTCCTCTCCCGGTAGAGAGGCGGCTTTCAAATTGGAGATGTGGGTGGTGGGCGTGGGGGGATGAAATTAACCCTCTGCGTCTCTCCAGAACTGGCGCTCCTACTTCTACTTCTGCTGCTGCTACTGGGGGCCCCATAGTTCACTCATGTACTTAGACATGTCCAATTATTATGCATTTAATAGACAATTTAACCAATAATCTTACCTATTATATAAAGTCTGTAGAGTTGCCTATGGCCTATTAATTGCACAATAAATCGTATCAACTCTGTAACAAAGCTGGGTCCCCATGGTTCAGTCATGCACTAGACATTTCCAATTATTGTGCATTTAATAGACAACTTAACCAATATTATGATCTAATATAGTCTGTATTGTAGCGTTGCATACTTCTAATTGCATAACAAATCACATTAACTCTGTCCAAACTATGGCCCGGGGGTCAAACGCGGCGTTAAGACTAATTTTTGTTGGCCCTCACGCTCTCTGCTGAATTGGCCCAAATGATCAAAGGCAGTGCTGCAAATTAGTAAGTATTTCTACCACTGTATTATGTTATTATAATGATACAGACCTATACAGACAATACAGATGCGATACAGACCTCTTTTAACTGTGATATAGTGCATTTATATTACTATATTTGATTTATAGTACTTGTACATACATTTATACTGTATAATTATGCCTTATTTGACACCAGTCCCTTGCTATTTTTTATTGCTTCTTATTTAGAAGTTTTATTACCATTTATATCTTTTTTACTCTGTGTTATTGTGATATAATGTGTTGTGTGAGCTACTGCATCCAAGTAATTTCCTTTGTGGATCAATAAAGTCTGTCTAAGTTTAAGTCTAAGTCAAATTCAAACCTAAATTGGACCTGGAGTTTGTGTTACAAGACTTGTTCTGGTTCTGTAAAATACATCTATCTGAAAGTCTAGCTGTACTAAACACCCGTCTATGTCCTCTATTACAAAAGTGTTTGAAAAAAGTTTGAAAAAGAACACATTTCTATACAATAGGCAAGGTGACTTCATGTCTGTCATATAGGCCCACAGTGGAAAATGTGCAAAAGCAAATGACCAAAATGCATGGGGATTTTTATGAGAAACTTTTTAAAAGTACACTATTTCATGTTTCTTAGCTTTTTTCAATGAGATGAAATTGCTTTCCTGAGATTAAATGTCTTCTGTTTCTTGTATTTAACTAAAACACTAGCACACTTTGATAGTGGGAGAGGCTAAGGGGGGCGGTTAGGAATGCATGTGTTTATATATAGGCTATGTTGTTTTAAGAATAGTATTTGAATGATGAGACCCCAGGGAATATCTGCTTTATTTTATTAATTTGCATTTATTGACTCTGTACATTTAATCTGCATTTTCTGTTCACACCAACCGCAGGCTCTACAGGTGTACACGAGCATCCATATAACCTGGCACCAGCATCTCTCCTGTGACTTTTGTCTTGGTTCGGTATTGTTGAGCACTGTCCCTATACAAATAAATGCGTACCATACTATATTATACCATACATGCACTTACTCACTCATACACCAGCGTGTGCATAAACTGGGCGTTATTTAATGTTTTTGAAAGTTAACCAAACTATCAAAAAGCACATTGGGAAAGATGTATGTTATTATTGTATTCTATTTCCCGTGACTGTTACACTATAGGTATGAAGCACACACTGAGACCTGTGCTGCTGCTGCTGCTGCTGTGTAGGTTTATGTTTATTACAGGTGCTCTATATATAGGTCTACAGGGAAATACAAAGCAGAAATTATTGCACAGGAACACAGGAACAATTGCACACTTTTAGCCTATACAATTCTTAGATGTGAGATTATGATGATGATAATAATTGTATCTTGTTTATCTGGGTTAATGTAACAGAATTCATCACCACCCTGGACATTTGAATGCATTGTTAAATGTACTGAATATAATGTATATGAATGTTGTCAGTTTTTCAAATTCAATTCAGACACCAATGTAAAGACAAAAAATAGAAATTTATACATATACTGTATATCTGTCTCCAAATTGGACTACACAAAAAATTGCATGATTATTATTATCTATTTAGACCTGTCTTTGAATGTAATAAACATAAAACCATTCACAATAATAAAAAAAATATTTATATTGATCAATTCATTTGTGGTACAATTATGTATGCATTCGTTCAAACTTGCACTCATTTGGTCCTGGTTGAAGCCAGTTTGGTTCTTATCTAGAATCAAAAAAAAAAAAAAAAGATTCCAAAAATACTCAGATACAAATGAGGGAGCGTCATAGCTCTGAGAATGTAGTGATATAATATTCTGACCTGGCTTGGGGTCACTGTGTCAAATGTCCCAAGCTATGGAGGAAAAAACAAAACAAATACACTATAAAAATGCTTTAAGAAGCTGTAAAATTAAGATCTGAACATCTGTCAAATATCCAGTAGTTTAGTCCTGGGGTAGCCTATGTTTAGTTTCAGATTTAAGTCAAGTTATAATGTTTCGTTAACACATGTTAATCCTGCATTATTAGTCTGTCTGCATCTCCAAAGCTCAAAAGTCTCTGTTCCACCTTATGACATAACAATGCAGTAGTGTTCAAGTTAACAGCTGATCCTAGTGAAAATGTCCTGGGGTAGCCTATGTTTAGTTTCAGGTTTAAGTCAAGTTATAATGTTTCATTAACACATGTTAGAGTAATCCTGCATTATTAGTCTGTCTACACCTCCAAAGCTCAAAAGTCTCTGTTCCACCTTATGACATAACAATGCAGTTGTTTTCAAGTTAACAGCTGATCCTAGTGAAAATGTATGGAGTTTAAAAACACAGTGGATCACTTCCTGTGTTACTACATGACAAGATGGAACAGTGTTTTCTGTTTGAAAGAAGATCTTGGCCTAAATATGCAGGGTTTTTGTGTTAAACATGTGGGAATGAAACACAACTCCAGGTTTGTTTGTGATGAGGAAACATTGGAACATAGATGACAAAATAGCGGAATACGGGCCCTTTAATTCTCTGTTGTGGAGATACACCAAAGGCCCAGTTGATGGCGCGTTTGATTTTTGCTTCTTTATGAATCTCAAACTCAGCACCGTAGAAGAAGAACCAAGGCGGAAGTAAGAGAAGAGGCTAAAATAAACAACACGGACACTTCACAAACTAGCGCAGAAATGCATTAAAAGGTACACGATCATTGACATTTTTCATATCCAAATGAAATATAACATGCATTCTTTTTGATCTGGCAAGCTGTTTAATAAAAACAATTATGTAACTTGTCAAACATTGCAGGAAGGCGTTTATATTAGCTCGACCCTGCTCACTGCTAACTTAGCTTCAGGGTTAGCAACTTGTTTGGAAAAATGGATCAAAAATAATATGAACGAAGTCGATTTTATTGTTACCGTCCCAGCTTTACAGTCGTCGTTAAAGAAGGTGTTTTCCTTTTAATTTCTTGCTTTTTAAACGATGGTAACTGAGGAAAAGCATGCTAAATTTAGACTACTGTGAAATCATACTTGGCAGAGCAGTGCAAGGCTTGTGAGTGAGCTAACATTAGCAATTCAAATATAATCTTTGGATTTGTTTAGGGAAATTAAAGCAACTGTCTAATGAATATCAACGTGACTGTGTGCATACGTAAAGTCCCGTAGATGGCAGTTTTATAGCTTGATTACTAAAATAGAAATGACTGAACGTGATCGCAGGACGTGTAATGCTAACTTCCTCGTAAAAAGGTGTTATTTTCAGCACTTCAGACACATTCTGTAGTTATTATTTAATAGATTATAGCGTGCACCAATAATAAAAAGTTTAATATTTAACATGTAATATCGCGATTGCGTTAATCTTCAAACTTTATCGTGCAATGTGATTTGTATTTCCTCATGTAAACCAATTCGATTTTAATTGATTGTAAAACTCCAGTCCAGATTACTGTCATGCCAAAAGAGCCGTTTAAGCTTGTTTTTGTACTATATTTACAAAGTTAAAAGGTAAATAGTTTCCTTCTTATCTTAACTTAGCTCTACTTTCGCTTTACTTTCTGCGTGGTCAAATGTGCACACTTTAGTTTAACCGCAAAGTATGACTTTATAACACAGACCGATAAAAGCTGGCAAAAGCAGTTTTATTAGTATTTACTATTATTATTTAAATATTACTGTTTGAAACATTTTATAATTATTTTCAGATGATATAAGAATTTTCTTATTTTGCTTGAGTGGTTGAATTATAAAGTATCAGCGTTTGTACTTGGAATTTGAGAACATCACCATTGTATTTTAAAGGTCTCTTGTGAGTTTTATGCCATATTACAATGTTGTTATGTTCTTAAGAACACCTGGAGTTGACACACATGTTTTTACCTTTTAGTTCAGTAGAAATGGGCAATTCCGGGGCTGAAATTATCCAAGTGATTCTAGTGGTGCTGTATAGAGATAAAAACACAATGGAACACGTCTTGTATTACCACATGACATCACAAAGTGATCTCTCAAATGGAGTGTTTTGCGTTTGAGAGGAGATCTCCGCCTAAACATGCAGGGTGTGTGTTTTAAACGTGTTACTATGGAGAAAAATTTTTCTCCATGGTCTTGGGCTGCTCCCTTTCTTCCAACGCACATATCTCAAGTAATTGATGTGCGAAGTTCTCATTCTTTTAAACATGTGTGATTGAAACAAAATACAACTCCAGGTATGTTTGTGATGAGGAAATAGCATCATAATATACAGAAAATAACATAATAAGCCTGCAGTTGATTGACTGAGGTACTAATATATTACTAAGTATTTATACTAAGTATTTACTATTATTGTACACATCCATTAATGAAGTATTACTTTTAGGTTTGGTTTATCAAACATTATTATCGCTTAGATACTAATCAATACTAAAACTAGTATCAACATTAGATAGTACTCATGTGTTTCAGCTTCCTCTTATGTGGTTCCATTTTGAAGATAGACGATAATGCAAAAGATATAAAATCTTGTTTTGAATTATTAATTGGTATGGTAACGGCTCCATCTTTTCATCATTATGAAAACCATGAACACCAAAAAGCATTCATAAGACAGAGTTGGACTTTTCTTAAATAATTTTAGATATTAGACATATTATCACATGTATATTTAATAAACGTTGTGGTATCAAAATTAATATTAAAGGCACATTGTGTAACTTTTCTGGTGGGTCAGTCAAAGGCTTTCATCCATGGAGATGTTATTGCTTTGTCTGAAATGTTTCACAGTATGGTATTAAACATTTTATCTTCGTGGAACTAAACCAGACCAAGTTACAGGTCAGATCTGTGGAGAGGTGACCCCACTCACAGTCAGAATTTCTGTTTTTCTAGGTATTTTTGAGCTATAAAACCACCTGTAATTTAATAAATGTAAGGTAGAGCTGTTTATTGTCATACTGTGGAACATTTCAGGCAGAGCAATGACATATCCACAGAGAAAAGTATTTGATGGACCCTCTGCCAGAAAAGTTACCTAGTGCACCTTTAATTAAGTACATTTAATTTTGTAATATTAAGTAATTTCATCAGAAATGTAGTTTGACATTTTTTGTATTTTGATGACTATTTTGGATACAGATTTTGCTGCATTTACCTTAGATGTTAATATACACTGGTTAGAATAATTAAGAAATGGAAATACGACCTATGTTTTATAACCTGTTTATTTTTTTCATTTTGTGTCCAGGTAAAGAACATAATGTGACATCTGAATCTCTGGACTCCTGGAAACCGCTGCTGCGATGGTGGTGAACTGGGGCTGGACGCCAGTGTCCTGGAAATTGTATCACTGTACAAGTCTGGCATGAAAACTGTACAGACTAAAAAATGACTCCAGGAAATCAAGATTGAGTTTTTGTTTTGTGAATAAGCTGTTCAAAGATGGCGGCAGAAGGCGATGAAAAGGAGTTGGAAGGGCTAATGGAGCATGAGGAGACAATGAGTGGCAGTAATTGGGATACGTCTGTGGGTCAAAGCTTAGAAAATGAAGACGAAGAATTATCACAAGACAACCAAACTCCATCCAGCCCTCATGATTCTGGCATTGGTGAATCCGGTTTCTACGAGCCTAGAGATGACACCGAGGAAGTTACGGAGGAGATCTCAGACGAACTGGACCCTGATGTGGAAAATATGCAAGACGAAGATGATCAGAAGGAGATGAATGGAGAGAGCGGCTGGAGGAATGCAGGAAAAAAAGGCAAAGTTAGAAGCAGCGGATCGATTTCAGAGTCAACTTCTGCCTATGTTCCTAAAGGCAGCAGCGTACCTAGACATAAACAAGCCCGAAGACGCAACCATCATCATCACCAACAAAACCGCGGGCGACGAAGGACTGGCAACCAATTATTTTCGTCTTTTAAGGAAATGCTATCCGAATCTGTTAGTTTATGGTGTATCTCTTGCGTCCATATGATGATTGAAATTATAGTGACTTTGACTCATAACTGCGGTGTGGGCGTGGAAGCCGGGGGAGTAAAACTGTACAACTTTGGACAAAAACTTATTGTTAAAATCTCGGATGTCCCTGGGATGAAGGCGGATGCGACGAGGTTGTACAATTGGACTAAAAGTAACGCTTTGAACTGTAAAGATAAACTAGTCACATTTGGAAAATTCACAATGTCTTCTGCCTTATCTTGCTCTAAGCTTTTCTGTGCACTGGCTTTTCTCACATTTCTTTGGGTTAAAGGAGTTGTAGGACGGATCGGAGGAGAGAGGGGGAAGCGATTTTGCACGTATATTCAAGAATCAAGGTTTTGGCAGAAGTTGGTGGGGTTAGTAGAGAAAGTGAGGAACTGTTTTAGGAGGAAATGTGCCCCTTGCGGTCCTGAGTCGCCTGGAGGTCAAGGGGTGAGAGGAGCACCGGGGCAGGAGCTGGAGCGGCTTCTGGCGTTGGCAGACGTCCCAGAGGAGGAGCTAGACCCCTTCTCTGTGCTTGGGGTGGAAGTGCATGCCACAGAAGCCGAGCTCAAGAAGGCCTACAGGCAGCTGGCGGTGCAGGTGAGGGAGACTTGAGGAAATATTAGCATTAGTTTAGATCTGTTAAAATAACGTGAATTCACAATATAAGTCTAGCTGCTTATATTTAGGGAATTATGTTATATATATTTCTTTCACAGTTCTTAAAAGCTATGACGGTAATCCCAATTTGGAAAGGCTTCCTTTGAAATCGTATAAGAAAGGCATATATTTGCATTTGTTTGGCTCAAGCATGACTCATGACGAGTCCAATTAAAAACACATTTGCAAACAGATTACCTTGAATATTTGAATTAAAAGAACAAAGTGATTTCTATTGCTTTGTTCCTCTTAAATATATAAAGCAAAATTCTAATGAATTTGATCAAGTGTGTTATTAATATATTAATTGCATTAAGATAGATTTGGCCATTAAAAACACTGATACAAAGAGTAGTTTATAAGCTTAATAAGTTTTTAATAAGTGAACAAATTTTGTCAAAATGATTTTGGTTCTAGCAGAAGAAATCTTTCTGAAAATGTAATATTGTCCTTGTCATTGATTACAGTCTTTCTTGTTTTGCCAGTGCACTTCATTTATCATTATTATAATGAATATTACAACACCACTTGTATCTGATTTGTTGATAACTGTGGTATGACAGAGTAGTACTTCCTCCTTGGCATATTACTGAAGAAATATTATAAATGCAGTATTCTGCAGCTGAAACTGAGTGCTGTTTTTTCAGGTTCATCCAGACAAAAACAAACACCCTCGAGCCGGGGAGGCGTTCAAAGTGCTGCGTGCTGCCTGGGACATCGTCAGTAACCCTGAGACCAGGAGGGAGTATGAGCTGTGAGTCTAAACACTGAACACCATCACGTCTGATTACATATTATATATTTTCATGTCAAAAATAATAATCAAAATTAATTTTACCACATTTGTTTTTTTCCCTCATATATTTCTTGTACATTATTTCTATGATATCATTGTCTGCTTTTATTTATTAATTTTTTATGTGACAATAACTTGTATTTTATATTTCCACACAGGAAGAGGATGGCGGCATCTGAGCTCTCTAAGTCAATGAATGAGTTTCTGACCAGACTCCAGGACGACCTGAAAGAAGCCATGAACACCATGATGTGCACCAAATGTGAAGGAAAACACAAGTATGTACTTTAACAACAGACATTGTCTCACTGCTTATACTGCTTTACATTTTAAATATCTGGCCTTCAACATGTCACAGACTACTATTAACATAAAACCAGGACTTAAAATGAGAGTTACGTCTGTAACTACAGTTCTATGAATCATGGATCATCATCCATTAGATGGCAAATGACATTTGTGTGTTCAGGCGTTTTGAGATGGACCGTGAGCCGTCCGAAGCGCGGTTTTGTGCCGAGTGTAACCGTTGCCATAGCGCTGAGGAGGGGGACTTGTGGGCGGAGTCAAGCATGCTGGGCCTCCGCATCACGTACTTTGCCTGTATGGACGGCAAGGTCTACGACATCACAGGTACTAGGACAGTTATGTGTTATCTGTTTACATTCAGCAGTGTCAAATACAAGCACTTGTGAAATATTTCAAACTTGATATTTGGTCCTGTCAGAGTGGGCGGGCTGTCAGAGGATAAGCATCTCTCCGGACACTCACCGCGTGCCGTACCACATCTCGTTTGGAGCCAAGAACAGCAGCTCCACACGACACAGGTCTGCACACTGAACACCCTTACATCAGCTATTTATGTATGTTTATCAGTTGTAGTGAGATGCACTTCATGCTTTTGACCATGGTATGACAGTGTTCTCTCATTGTATTTTGATTGAGTCATGCATGTTTGAGTAATCCTGTATAGTCCTGGGGGTGTACTATGAGGCAAGATAGGTCAGTAAACTGGGTTAGTCAAGCTCAAACCCTGGATTTCCTGTATCCCAAAGGCAGCTCACTTTTCAGTGTGGTTACCTCATTATAGTAACAGAGCAGAGCTATAGCAGAGGTAACCTGGTCTGAGGCAGGTTAAGGAGTTAAGACTTTCATCAGATCTGTCTCTCTTTGAACAAGTCTTTGTGCACATATTACTGATGAATGCTGTAGTGTGAGTGTGTGGCTGTACTCTGTACTCTGGGATAAACCCTCTCCATTACTTTTAATCACTTAGAAACACGAGCATGCAGATGGAGGCTTAACTCACTGAGGCTCAAAGGCACAGCATCCACCAGTGGGGGCGCAGCTCTTCAGTCCACTTTAGCTTCCTAGTTTGATTGTTTGTGCACTGGCAGTGATGTTTACAGTATAATGCCTTTTCCAGTGCATTTTAGACTACAGTTTATGAAACTAAAGCTGTTAAAATCTGCACAAGTAAATTCAAATGAGCAATGATCTGCTAGATGTGGGTCAGTTTACAGAAATCTGTTTTGTTTATTAGTAGCTTTTATACTTGTTTCGATTAGGTTGTTTCAGATCAATATTGCAGTTTACAATGAAAAAATGAAACATTATAATCTATGTATTTTAAAATTTAATACAAAATGCCCCAAAATAAGGATAATGTCTTCTTAAAAATATATTTAGAGGCTCTGTACCTGATTTTTACCAGCTTAAAAACATGAAAAGCTCATTTATTTTACAGTGGTCCAAAGTTATTCCTCACTTACCTTATGCATTCTGCACATCCTAATTATTCACAGTGAGAAGTTTATAAGCATTTTTCACAACTTTCAGAGACCAGAGGGTAGTTTGCCATCACTGTAAAGCCAACAATTAGCATGCTAACTGTGCACTTCCTGGGAAGACGCTTTATCATTAGATGCAGACAGTATACAAAGCAGCAAGACAATTTTTGCTCAAATACATAATAGAAATGGTGTATATGGTCTTTAACTTTGACCTTTTTTTCCAGAGCACCTTCCGAGCACCCCCCAGGCCCCACAAACCCGGCCGACCTCCAGGACTTCTTTAACCGCATCTTTAAGGGAGCGGCGCCCCCCACTGACATGTCTGCCAATGGCGCCTTTTTCCCCTCTGCCCCACACCCTCCCCCGGGCCCCGGTACCACATCTGGCCCGGGCCCTACCTTCCCCCCTCCGCCTCCGGGACCCTCGAGCTTCTTCATGCCCGGAAATCAGCGCTCGGAGCCGGGTGAGAGCTGGGCAGAGACTGGGAAGCAGCCGAGGAGGAGGAAAAAAGTGCGAAAGCCTTTTCAGAGGTGAAGACTTGTGTGTTGTCTGAGGAAGGGACACAGGAAATAATGGCCATTTTGGATCTCACGCGCAGTGGGTCGACAGAGACGCAGCTAGTTTCAATGAAGTTTTGCTGTTGGTGCTTTGAATTCATGCCACATTGTAGATTTTCTCATTGGCTTTGGGGCAAGTTTTGAAGATTATAAATTTTTACAAAAGTACAAATTTTAATAATTTCAAACTCTTATCCTGATGGCGTTGCTCATTTTAAAACCATCAAAAACAATCCAACTAAAATCAAACTCTGGTCACTATGTAGTAAAGTGGAGATGCCAGCAGAGGGCAGTAGGTCTTGGCTCTGTTATGCTCAGTTGAACAGAAAGTGGGACGAAATTGTGTGTCTGATGCAATTTTATTACAAATATAGCTGTTAATAATGAATGGTATCACAACTACAGACACTAGGCCTGTCAAAGTAACACATTTTTAAAGCTACAATATGTCACTTTATTTTTCTTGGAAAGGGTCCCCCACCTGCTAGACACAATACAGATGTTACTGGTTTGTCTGGAATGTTCCGTGGTATAGCATTAAAGATGTCTATTTCGCATGTATTCAATTACAGTTATTTTTACGAAAAAAAAAAAGAAAAGAAAAAATGGCGTTACTGTAAGCAGGGACGTCTTTCCTCAGATCTGATCTGTAACTTGGGCTGGTGGCATTATTTTTTCATATTTTTAATGCTATAGTATGTAACAATCCTGGCAAAGCAATAACATCTCCATGGAGACAAGCAAGTGGACGGACCTTCCAGCAGAAAAGGTACACATTACGCCTTTAAAATCCGTGTATCATTCGTTCATTTGTTTTTCAATATAAAATCAAAAATAAGAAAACGAAAAAAAATCCGTGTATCATTCGTTTTTCAATATAAAACCAAAAATAAGAAAACGAAAAAACAACAGTTTTCTTCGCTATTTGTCTCCAAAACCAAAATGAAAAAACGGATAACGATTCGTTTTTTCAGTTTTCGATTTTGTGTTTAAATGACGAATGGAAAAAACGGATAACGGCCGTTTCCCGTTTATGTGACTTCCGTGACTGCGATGCCGAACTTTTGCACCGCGTACGGACTGAATCAGGACTGATCCAGGTCCGAGACCAGACCGGGACCAGAGCGGGACTGAGACCGGGACAGAGCTGCTCTGGTCCTCCGCGCTCAAGAACCGCGGCTGGTTCCGAGGTGGTGCAAAGCCTCCGACTGACGCATTCACACCAATGAAAATGAATCGAACTAAGAGCTTTTGGTTCAAATGGACCAGGTCCGGGACCAGACCGGGACCAAAGCGCTACTGAGACTAGGACCAGACCGGGACCAGAGCGGGCCTGAGACCGAGACAAGACCAGGACCAGACCGGGACCAGACCGGAGGCTCAGAGCCCACGGCAGGGCCGGAGCTCGAAGCTGAGGCTCGGACCCTGTGGAGGCTCGGAGTCAAAGCTCGGAGTCCGCCCTGGTCCCGCTCTGGTCCCGGTCTGGTCCCAGTCTCAGTCCCGCTCTGGTCTCGGTCTGGTGACGGACCTGGATCAGTCCTGATTCAGTCCGTACGCGGTGCAAAAGTTCGGCATCGCAGTCACGGAAGTCACGTAAACGGGAAACGGCCGTTATCCGTTTTTTCCATTCTTCATTTAAACACAAAATCGAAAACTGAAAAAACGAATCGTTATCCGTTTTTTCATTTTGGTTTTGGAGACAAATAACGAAGAAAACTGTTGTTTTTTCGTTTTCTTATTTTTGGTTTTATATTGAAAAACGAATGAACGAATGATACACGGATTCTTTAACATCATAAATAAAGGTACAGAACGACACATTGTTCTTCTGTTATTGACTGAAATATAGTTGGAGTAATTATTTTGACAGGCCTACTTTTTTTTTTTGTCTAAACGTATTAGCATGCTACAAAGCTCAAACATGTTTATTTAGCATATATCGGTAGGTTTCAGAGTGATGTTAAGTATTGCACAGTTGCCATAGCAATTCAAAGCAAATATCTTCTTGAATGGAGAAAAGCTATCAAACTGGCATTTATAAACGGGAAGCAGAAACACACAACAAATCTCATATTTTCTTTACTTTATCTTTGAGTTTTCAACAAAATTCAAGACAAAATATTTCAAGATTTGACCCAAAGCCACCGAGAAAACGTGTTGATCTGAAGCCTTTTGAGTTCTGATAATTAAGCTGAAATGTTTTTTTTTGTCCTGCCAAAATCGCACCTGCATTTTAATAACAGTTTTTCACAATTTTATGTTGAATTTGCTGAAGAAAGGGATTGTGAAGAAACCGACTTAGAGGCTAGAGTGACGGAGGCACTTTTTATGAAGAATGAATCTAAACATTTGAAATCCATTTTCTTTTCTCTTTTTTTTTTTTTTTTTTTTTTTTTTTTTTTTTACAGCAAAAACAAAAACAAGAGCTGCTTAAAGATTCATACAATGGCACTTTTTAAAGTTTAGTAGGTGCACTGTGTAGCTTTTCTTCTGAAAGGTCCACCTGCTGCTTGTCTCTATAAAGATGTAATTGTGTTGCCTGAAATGTTCCACAGTATGGCATTAAACTATCTATGCATTCAATTAAGTACAGATGTTTTTATTGCTAAGAAATTCTTCGTGTGACTGGGCTTCCCCTTCCTGCAGATCTGACGTGTGAGTTGACCTGGCAGCACCAATTATCGGCCTATGTATAATTAAATAAGTATAATGCCATACCCTGGAACATCTGAGCAAAAAAAACAAAACATCACCATGGAGACACAGGAAGGAGAAACGTTGCATGGTGCACCTTTTAAATAATATTGTCCCAATTTGCCTTTGAAAACCTTATCATTTTTCCACATAACTGTGCATACTTTAAAATAATATAAATGACAGACAGCACCATTGGAGTAATTAAATCCCCTATAATTTGTCTGGCAATTATTTTTTTCTTCATTTTTATTTTACCTCAACTCAAAAAATCTCTGAAAACCTTATTATTGCCTTTTCTATCTACAGTGTTACAACATCCTATTTGGAGTATTTTTTTTGCGAAAATATTCTAGGGTTTGATTCGGGATTGATTTGAGAAAACTTAGAAATTGTTGCGGTTTTACTCCCAGTTGAAGACACAACGGTTCATTTGTTGCTGTGATTTCATGATGTTATTTTTGATGAGTTTCGAATGAAAATCTTGGCTTTTATTTGTGTCATTTGCACAGAGCCTCCTCCAGCTGCAGAGGTGTAGGAGGTGTGTAGCGGTTTCAGGATAACGGCTCAAAAATGTGGTTATTTTTGGGTAAAATTTGAATTTCAATGAGTGACAGGTAATTTTAATAATACTTAAAGAGGGAGTATTTTTTCAGCAAATTTTGCATTTTCAAAAGAATAAAAGGGAACACGGTGATCTAAATATGTTCTGTGTTACCAGTTAATACCCCATACAATTAAAGTACTCCCTCTTTAATAAGTTTATGTTTTGGAGGAATGGACCTGTTTTGCAAAGTGGGTTTAACTGACTCTGAAATGTAAAAAAAGCAGGTTTGACTTACAACTAATTAAGGCAGAGCAGTTTTGTAAATAAATTTGAATTAATGAGATTTTAGTCAAATAAAAATGCTGTAAAAATGCAACAATACAAATTTTAAAGATTCTTCAATGACAAATCCCTTAAAATTGTAAAAAAAAAAAAAAAAAAAAGCAATTCTGTTTCGCAATTTCATCAAAATTTTAGAAAACTTAATTTATTTTGCAGTGGTAAAAATATAATCTGTGAGTTACTATTACTAGTTACAATTCGACTCCTAAAACCAGTTATTTGTTGCTTTACTGTGGCTGGAGTTAGTATTTTTGGAACTATTTCACAATGGCTCAAAATTACAAATAGATAAATAAGCATCAATGTAAATTTTTTGGGGGTAGTTATCGAACACGCTAACTAACCAATCAGAATAGCAATAGCTTCAAATAAGGACGCGAATTAACAAATCAGAGAGCTGCATCAGATCGCTCAAGCTTATTATTCAGAGTCTGAGTTAAACCTGCTTTTTTAAATCAGGCAGAAGTTGTTCCGATTATTTTGTTGCCATGTTTTCGCCATATGCTGACATCATTTTTGTATCGATCAATTACAATGTTCTTCAAGACTGTAGCTATGTTTTTCTATTTCAAATTATTGTTTCTGGTCAGTCGCCTAAAATATCTCTCTTGGTTGTCTGCGAATCTTGTTATGCTTTGCTCTCCTCATGGTTGTTTTGAAGAATGTAAAGGCTGACACAAACGGCTAAAGATGGCACGTCCATGGAAAGGAGGGCAGACCTGTGCAGAGTTTGAGAATTTAATTTTTACAGAATAATATGCAGAAGTTACGCAAAAAATATGACAATCATTGTTTTGTAGGAAATACAGACGGGAGATCCCAGGCAGACAAATTAAGTCCTTTTCCTGCTTTCTCTGGTTTTCAAAATAAAAGTTTCCTACATGCACAATTTGTTTCTTCCCTTTTAAATAGACTGCTTTACTTTTTAAATTTTTTTTATTTCTGACCCAAGAAAATGTGTGCAGTTCCTCTGATTCAAGAACTAAACTTAGTAGTGGAAGTTCTGTACTTAAAGGTTTTATATTACACAAAATTCACATATTATATTGTTATGTTACCTCCTCGAGTTGTGTTTTGTTTCATTCACACATGTCTGAGTAAATATTATAATTCTGTCTGTATCTCCAAAGGCGAGGAGGATTCTACCTGGATGACTGAGGGAGTCTTCACATGAATCTCCAAAGCTCAAAATGCTCAGTTTCACCTTGTGATGTTATGAAGTGGTAGTTAATGGCTGCCTTTGACCTTTAGTTCAGTAGAAATGATCAATTCCAGGTCTGAAATAATCCAAGTGATTCTAGTGGAGGTGTGTGGAGTTTAAAAATGCAATGGATCACTTCCTGTATTACCACATGACATCACAAGGTGGAAGGTTTTCTGTTTGATGGAAGAACTAAATGTGCAGGGTTTGTGTGTTAAACATGTATGAATGAAACAAAACACAACTCCAGGTCTGTTTGTGATGAAGAAACAACATTATATGTAGATCAGAAAACAGTGTAATATAAGCACTTTAAAGGTGCACTGTGTAACTTTTTCACAACCTACTTGTTACTGCTTAACTTGGAATCTTAAATCAAAAATATCCATAATACTAATATTGTACCATTGATGGGAAGATCTTCTTAGACCAAATTGCTACAAGATTATACACATATGAGAAATATGATCTTGTGAGTTTTTCTTATTTATTTTTTCCAAGTTGGAATTTGAGAAAATGGGTTAAAGGGCCCATATTACATTTTATTTTTGGTTTGTTGTAATGTTTCTTCATCACAAACAGACCTGGACTTGTGTTTTGTTTCATTCACACATGTTTAACACACAAACCCTGCACATTTAGGCTGAGTTCTTCTCTTGAACAGATAACAATCTGCTCCACCTTGTGAAATCATTTGGTAATACAGGAAGTGCTCCGTACGCCCTCACTAGAATCAACTGGATAATTTCCTACTGCTACTACCACTACTAATACTCCTGCTGCTGCTACTACTACTACTACTACTACTACTGCTCCTACTACCACCACCATCACCACCACCACTACCACTACAACTACTATGGCTACTACTACTACTATGGCTACTACTACTACTACTATGGCTACTACTACTACTACTATGGCGACTACTACAAGGCTACTACTATTGCTACTGCTAGTACTACTACTGCTACTCCTGCTGCTACTACTACTAACTACTACTGCCACTACTGCTACTACTACTACAACTACTACAACTATAACTAATGTTAATCAAACATGTGAATGAAACAAAACACATCTCCAGGTCTGTTTTTGATGAAGTAACAATATTCAAACATGGCTTGAATCTCACAAAATTCTGCAATTCTACTTAATATAGGACTTTAAACGATGGCTCATTACACCTCTTGAAAAGCCAGAGTTACAAAAAGCAGTCCTACAATGACAGCAAAAATATAATAGGAAGTCTAGAGAAAATTGCATATACTGTATAACTTATGACTCATCATTCTAATTTAGGCATCTGTGTTATCTTTAACTGTGAGAGATAAGACGGATGCCTAAACCAGACCAGTTATAATCGTCACGTCAGACTCTTATTTTGAAAGGGTGTCTCATAAATAGCTTTTGGGAGCAGTGATCAGTTTTCCCTCATATGGCCAGTGTTTCTCTGCCGAAAGGTGTTGAAACAATGGAAAAAGATGAAGATTGCATAAGACCTGATCTGTTCCATATAAGGAGCAGATCGTCCAAGCTCATAATCCTGGAGGCAGATATTTATCTCCCTCTTGTCTTTACTACGCACCACCGGGATGAGAGATGAACACATAAAGGTGCACTGTGTAACTTTTCCGTCGGCTGTTAATGGTCCTATGTTACGCCAAAATGAATCTTGTGGGCTTTAAAGTTGCATTGTGTAACTTTTCTGGTGGAGGGTCCTTCAAATGCTTTTCTCCATGGAGATGTTATTGCTTTGTCTGGAATGTTCCACAGTATGACATTAAACCTTTCTATCGTGATGGAGACCAAACCAGACCAAGTTCCAGGTCAGATCTGTGGAGAGGCAACCCACTCACAGTCTAGTTTTTGTGTGACCTGTAACTGAATAAATGTAAAGTAGAGCTGTTTAATGTCATACTGTGGAACATTCCATACAGAGCAATGATATTTACATGGAAACAAGCAGGTGATGGACCCTCCACCAGAAAAGTTATACAGTGCACCTTAAAAGATCCAATATTATGCAAAATTTTATCGTGTTAGCTTTAAGCCATGTTGTTTTTAAGCTATAACAATAACATACACTACTGCTGCTGCTACTACTACTGCTACTACTACTAGTACTACTAATACTACTGCTACTGCTACTACTACTGCTACTACTACTAGTACTACTAATACTACTACTGCTACTACTACTACTACTTCTACTACTGCTACTACTACTACTACTACTACTACTACTAGTACTACTAATGCTACTACTGCTACTACTACTGTTACTACTACTACTACTACTTCTACTACTACTGCTACTACTACTACTTACTACTACTACTGCTACTACTACTACTAGTACTACTACTACTAGTACTGCTACTACAGCTACTATTGCTACTACTACTACTAATACTAATACTACTAGTACTACTACTGCTACTACTACTCCTACTACTACTATTACTGCTACTACTACTGCTACTACTGCTACCACTACTAATACTACTACTACTACTGCTACTACTACTGTTACTATTACTACTATTACTACTTCTACTACTATTACTGCTATTACTACTTCTGCTACTACTATTCCTGCTGCTACTGCACTGCTTGTGGTCATACTGGCTTGTCAAAGCCTGATCCCATCAGATCTCAGAAGCTCAGCAGGGCCGAGCCTGGTTAGTACTTGGATGGGAGACCAGGAAAATCAGGTGCCACAGGGGGGTGCCAGTTGTAAAAACTGTTGTTGTGTCCTTAGGCAAGGCACTTCACCCTCATTGCCTAGTATGAAAGTGGTGTGTGTGTGTGTGTGTGAGTGATGGTAGTGGTCAGAGAGGGGCCGATGGCGCAGATTGGAAGCCTTGCTTCCGTCAGTCTACCCCAGAGCAGCTGTGGCTACAGCGGTATCAGGTATGGAGTGAATGAATAATGATCTGTAAAGTGTCTTTGAGTGTCCAAAAAAGCTAATGCATTATTATTATTATTACTGCTACTACTACTAACTACCTCTACCTCTACTACTACTACGCTAACGCTCCTACCTGTCTACTACTGCTGCTACTACTAGTTACCTGTATTACACAAATGAATAATGAAAGAGAATAGTGTGTTCATACATTTATAGTGGTACCAATATTTACAGTTTGTATGACAGCAAATATACATTTATTTTTAAGAACAATATTAACCAAGTTACCATAAGTAAATCTTACTGGACATACACTTAAAAGCTAGAAGACAGTTAAATAAAAGGAACAGAAAAAAAATCGGGAAAGAAAAAGAAAAAGAGAAAAGCTGTAAAACATATAATATTAAACTCAGCTCCAACTTTGTCTTACATCATTAAAATCAGACAAAATATACAATGTCATATACTGTATTTATAAGCAAATAGTATGTTAAACTAAATTTAAAAAATCATACTCTGCATAGTCTCAATAAAAGCAAAGAGAAAAATAAACCAAAGTCAGTTATTGCACAAAGCTGTATACGACATATAGAGCAATATCATTAAAAGGTGCATTGTGTAACTTTTCAGGTAGAGGGTTCGCCACATGCTTGTCTCCCTGGCGATGTTACTTTTGAGCAATTAAAAAAAAACAAACATCTAATTTAAAACACAAAATACCTAAGACTAATGCCACAGTGTCAAACATTCCAGGGAAGTCCATAATATCTCCATGGTGACAAGCAGGTGTCAGACCCTCCATTGGAAGTTAGACAGTGCACCTTCAGTTTAAATTTATACAACTTCCTCCACCTGCTTTAGTTTGCATGAAACGTACCACAGTATGGCATTAAGACTATGAATCTTGATGCACACAAGCTGGTGATCTGCGGGTCAGATCTGCAGAGAGGTGACTCAGCTTCAAGCAAGAATGCATGTTTTTCTAAGGTATTTTTGAACAAAAGGTGTAGTTTAGGAAGCAAGACAGATAAGGAAACTAATGCCAAACTGCGGAACATTCTAAACAAAGCAATAACATCTCCATGGAGACAAGCAGGTGGTGGACCCTCTATCAGGAAAGTTTATCGTTTCTTACATTACCCTAGGGTTGCATTATATTCTGTAAATAAAGGCAGCTCAACTGGTACATCTTTTTCAGCCCCATTTTTTCATTCACTTAAACTTTTTGTTACATAAATCATTATTTACATAAAATAATTGCATTAAAAGTCATGATTGCATCCATTTGTTATTAAAATACTGCATCCATAACATATATATATATATTTATCACAAAATCAAGTTCTGGATGTGAAAGACAGAAAAATAAACTCTAAAAACCACACCCAGATCACTCTTTAATCTTGTTCCAGCCTTACTGAGAATCTTAAAAGGACCTATACGGAATTCAAAGTACTGAATAATAGTCTTGGCATTTCCTGTTAGAAAACTATACAAATCAGGTTCTGTACAGGGCCTTTTTCTAACAGTGACACATAATCCTTCTAAGGAGAAAAAAAGGACACAAATAAACCAAAACTAGTGTACCACATGGTGATATTAAATAAAATGTTGTCTCGTGTTGAAAAGATTGATTTCAAATATTTTTATGATCATTGCGTTATTGAACTCAGTGCTAAGTATCAAACTTTATCCTTAATACCAAAGTTGAGGTTTAAATTTTAGTATCAACACTGTCTTAAAGTACTTTTTTGATAAGAATAAAGTGTTATAAGTTTTAATCATGTTATAAGTACTAAAGCTAAATATAGGACATTTTAAATAAAGATGCTAACAAAAAATACTGATTAAATGCAAGAGTCTAGGGTGTTCTCACTCATTTACTGAATGGATGTATCAAATGCAGAGAAGTGGTCAGGATACCTTTGCTGGAGATGCAGCTAACTGCGGTCTACAGCTTTTTAGGACTTAAATAGTGTTGTATTGAAGTCAGTGTACAAAAGGCAGTTCAATTGGTACAGTTCACTTCACAGCATAATATAGAACTTTTAAAGATACCATCTGGAAGTTTATTACATTTTTTTCACCAGTAGATGGCAAATGTGTTCCCCTCGCCCCTCACCTGGCCTTTGTTCATGCTCACCTGTGCTCTCTGCTCTTCTATCAGGCCAAAGCTGGCACACTATCAGACAGCAGTAATGTAGATAGCCTCTAGTGGTGATATGTGAGAATACAACATGGGTCGGTCAGCCAGTCTAATTACAGATGATAGATTTAAAATCAAGATAAAATCCACGTGTGTGAGTGTTTGTCAGAGGGGTCAATGGTCAGTCTGTCCCAGGCAGCTGTGGCTACAATAGTTTACCACCACTGAGTATGGTGTGAATGAATAATGTATGAAATACTATAATTATGAGTGTTGTATTGAATTCCGTGTACAAAGGCAGCTCAGTTGGTACAGTTTTCCTTATTCCTAATAAAAACATAAAATAGAACCTTTTCAATGAAGATCAAATCATTTGTAAAATTCTGTTCAGATGTTGCCTTTCAGCACTGTAAGAAGTTTAGACAGCTGATCCCGGTCCCTGTAGGCTATGAGTCCCCCACTGTTGGCCCAGCGGTCGGCCCCTGCGTGCCCTGTATTGGGCTGGTGATAGGTCAGTTCTGCTTGATTTACTCCAGACTCCAGAGTCTTATTGAGGTCCACCACACCCCCGCCTAAGGCCTTAAGCAGCACATGTGGAGCACACGAGTCCCATTTGAATGTACTGCCCTCTGAGAGTACATAGACATCAGCCAAACCTTGAATCACACAGAGGATTTTGAAGCCTGCCCCTGAAGCATACATGAGTTTATCGGGGTGGCAGATGGAGGACAGGGCTTTTTTCACTGAGGGTTTTTCACTGGAGCTCAGGACCACGGACAGATCCGAACCAGAACCAGAACCAGAACCGGGTTTGGGAGGAGACACAGAGCACAGGGCCAAGCCATCACAGGACACACCCCAGAAGTGCTGCCCACGCCAGCTGTGGAAGAACAAGAGAATATCTTGAGAATCATTAGAAGTAGTAAGTCGGTTCTTGCATATTAAAATAAATGTTGTACTTTTTCTATTAAAATGCCTTGACAAGCTTTTAGAGAGTAGATTGCTTCTACATACTGTGACCTCAATGAGCGATTTTATTTTATCTTCAAATAAAAGTTCCTTTTAACAGAGCAGTGTGTTGGTTACACATACCAGGACTAAACCAGGACTAAACCAGGACTAAACCAGGACTAAACCAGGACTAAACCAGGACTAAACCAGGACTAATCTTGGACTAATCTTGGACTAATCTTGGACTAATCTTGGACTAATCTTGGACTAATCTTGGACTTGAGGGAGAAAGAAAGAATGCCAAGCCCATGGAGCAGGGTGTCCGCAAAAAGCAATTGGGCGAAGGCTGCTCCATGGAGTGCGGAGCTCTGTGCATTTCACCTGTGGTCACCTGACAGTTTACGCGGGCGAACCTTCGGGCCTGTCCTGACACGCAGTCCTGGTTCACTTCTGGTTTAGTCCTGGTTGATCAAACTCCTCAAATGCATCAGGGCTAAGGTGATGACAGAATTTTCCTTCCTTCTTTTTTCTTCAGTCAAAGGCCTTAAGTCATAGTGTGCATACAATACTGAAACCCACAGTATCCCATACTGACCCGCTGCTGTCTGGAGACTTGTGGTTGAATGGTTGGTTGATGACACCCATCACCGGCTCCCCGCTGCCCCGGAGGTAAACCCCAATGAGCACCAAAGCACAGTGCAGCCCTGAGGGACACAGGACCCCCTGCTGGAGCTCCTCCTCCTTACCCTCAATGTACTGACTTGTGGCATCTGCAGCACACAAACACATCTCACATGTAACAACAACATGCACTGATTATGCACAGAGCCACAGATCCTTTTTGAATTGAAAATACATTTAATCAACGTTTTTCTTTCTTTTCTGTAAATGCTATTTTTGTTAATGTACTTAGGACGGCCTTGCAAATGAGACGTTACATCTCAAAGGGTTTCCCTTATAAAAAAATAAAATATGCCTTTACTACAACCTTACTTATTTATGTGTAAATATGTGACTTGCACTCATAGACAGTATATGAATGAATGTATATATCTAGCCTGCTAGCCAATCCACAATAGGAAGTGAGTGAAAAATCATTGACCACTATGGGTGATGTTACACTCCGTCAGTCCACTTCTCTATACAGCCTATGCATGCCATAAACAAAATAAAGATATTGACACTGCTAAATACTGGCCAGAACAACAAGACAAATACCCAATAAGCCCAATCAGGCAATCCTTACTTTCTACTTACAGTCCCGTGTAATAACTCTCTCTTACCTATAGGGTCTATCCAGATGCCCAGTTGTGAGGGCTGCAGGGGGATGCTGAGGTGGTCAGCGTCAGTGCAGATGGAGGCGGGGTCCTGGTGAATGGCTCGAGCCAAAAGTGAAGCGGCCGTTGAGTCTCCATCTAAAACTGTGGACAATAGAGACGCCGTATCTGCTTCAGAGGGACACACGGTCACCACCACACTCTCTCCTGCAACAACAACAGGGAATCAAGTCGAGGTCAAACTTTAAAGGGGGCATGTTATGCTTTTTCAGGTATGTAAGTATTAAAAGACCTATATTAGGCAATTTTAAAAAAATCTCTGTTATAATATTGTTTCTTCATCAGAAGAGTTGTGTTTTGCTTCATTCACTCATGTTTCACACACAAACCTTACATAATTAGATTGTATTCTCTCACTCTGAAAACGCTCCACCTCCACTGTTCCACCTTGTGATGCCATGTGGTAATACAGAAAGTGCTCCACTTTGTTTTTAAATGCCATACACCTTCACTAGAATTGTTTGGATGATTTGGATGATTTGGATGAACGGTAGCTGTTAACAAGAAAACTACCACTTCATGACATCACAACATGAAACAGAGCATTTTGAGCTTTGGAGATGAGAACCAGGAATCCAGGATTACTCAAACATGCAACGCAATAAAACACAAGTATGTTTTTGATGAGGTAACATTATAACACAACTTAAAACTCACAAGAGTTAAGTCTGCGAAATATGGGACCTTAAAGCTACAATCATTATTTTGCACAAGACAACTCAGACATACATGAATCTTTGACTAAACTAATGATGGTGTTTCATAAAAGTTTTTTATATAGCTACTGGGCATCTGGATAGATCCTGTAGGTAAAACAGAGGTAAACCGATTACTGGTAGAATATTATACCATATCAAGAGATCAACAGACAACAAAGTCAGCTTTGGTTCTGAAGTAAAATTCCCATTTTTTTTCCATATACTGAAAAATTTATGAAAATTGTTCTGTGGTAACTCATTTCCATAGTGTGATTATATTCATATCTAAACCTTTAAAATATGGCAACATTTCTGCTGTAGACTTGTACTAGCAGTCACACTTTACACAGACATGATCACTCTTTAGTTCTATTAAACACAAATGATGTGGTGACATTTGCCTTCAGTAAAATCCTGCTGCAGCTCCACACTCACCAAGGCCATTCTCAAACTTATTTGACTCTTCTCCATGAATGAAACCGACCATTTCAGGAAACTGCAAAACAAAATAAAAATACATGTACACAACTGTTCTGTTTTCATGCAGTTATGATATCTACAGAAATAATTAATGAATAAGAAATTATGCCATAATTAGAACAATTTTACAAACAAACAATTGTAACTTCTTTCTGCTAATTGGCATTTCCTCTACAATTACAAATTATGACTTTTATAATTTTTCCATATACAATATTTTTATTCATAAAATCAAAAACTCACACAGCTGTTGTACATTCACCCTTGTACAATCACTGCATCAGTATTGGAACTCAAATAGGACTAAACCCAGGACTTAAGCAGGACTTAAACCAGGACTAAACCAGGACTAAACCAGGACTAAACCAGGACTAAACCAGGCCTGGAATAGGACTGGAACAGGACTGGAACAGGACCATCCTGAATGCATCAAATACAACATTACATTCATGTTGTGTCTTACTTGAGCTCCCACATCATGCCGAATCATCTCCTGAATGATCACATCGGCGAGTGTTTTAAAATCCTGTACAAACTTCTTGTTCTTGTCCGCTCCGGTTTTCTCCTGAACGAGGAGCTGGAACAGTGGTGCCTCCTGTCTGCAAACTCGGGCAACATTAGCTGCCTTCTCTGCCACTCGGAGCAGACACTTCAGCAGGTCTGCCATATCTAAGAACAGGAAAGAAAAGACATATTTTTATTCCAATAATGATCAATATTATGCATATACTCAGTGATGGTTAACATTTTCTTTGGCCACGGCTGCCCTGGGGTAGACTGACAGAAGCGAGGTTGACAATCTGCACCACCTGCCCCTCCAACCACAACTATGTTTTACTGTGAGAGGTCTTGCCTCTGCCCAAAATCTGACCTGCAACTTGGCCTGGTGACATAACCTCTCCATGGATTTAAGTTTATTGCCATACTGTGGAACATTACACCCAAAGCAGTAAACATTTCCATATTTTCTCCAAAAAGAAAAATTACTGCTATAAAGTTTAAATGCATCTTTAAACGTCCAGCATAACCCAAAATACTATACACGACTAATGAAATATTGGTGATGTTAAAGCAATAAAACCAAGGCTGTGGCTCAACATGAAAATAACATTTAAAGTAGATGAATTAACTGATTTTTAATTTTTACTGAAAATAAATAAAAAACACTCAAACAAAAAGCTGATGTGTGTATCAATGTATTTCAGTTAATGTGTCGGTTGGATTGAGGACACTATATTTTATTTTTTACAGTACAGATCATGTGTAAAAATGACGGTTTATAGAAGAGCTTCCACAAACATTACAAAACTAGTATTTCTATAGTATAGAGAGAGGATGACATAGTGTGAGAAAATGGGTGCAGAAAGCAGGCCAGAGTACTAATTATAGGTTGTAAAAATGGGGCACTACAGAAATGGGTGGGGACTTTAAACATTTGTGTTTCAACTGTACAAAACACTGACATGAGAAATGACAGCAAAAGTTAAAATCAAAAACTTAACCAAACTCAAAATGTCTCTGAATATGAATAATACTTGATAATAACATCAATAATGGTAGTTGGATTGAAATACAACAGAAGTACTAGCAGTAATAAGAAATATTAGTAGTAGTAGTAGTAGTAGTAGTAGTAGTAGTAGTAGTAGTAGTAGTAGTAGTAGTAGTATCGGTATGAGTAGAAGTAAACATGAAATTCGAAGTTTTGATTCAAATCTAGATCTCGATTTGAAAACCAGGTTGAGGTGTGTAGTCGTAGTATTTCTTGCATCTACAGAATAACTTTAAAGCACACCAATATTGTAGGTATATTAGGTCATTTTGAAGTAATCTAGTTCGCATTTTTCACGCATAAGGAATAAAAGAGGACCTGTTATAATCACTGCCACGATGGAACATTTGTAAACACAGAAGCTGGATTTTTCAAGGTAGCGTATTTTTCGTTGTTATAATCCTTACATTATTGGATCAATACAATTTAATAGATTTCAAATGATCATGAACAACGTATAGCAGATTGCCACTTGAAAATCAGTGTAGAAGTAAAAAAATGTTGGATAACTTTACCTTCCTCTAGAAAAAAAGGGATTTAACCAGGCTATCTCCCTTGGATCAGTAGCCCCCGGTGCGCTGCCGTGCTCTGTCCGCCCCGTGACTTCTCAAAGGCGGGTAAGGCGTGCAGGTAGACCTCGGTAAGACCCAGAGGTCTGGCTTATTTGATGAGAAATGTGCAAAGTTTCCACTGAGGGAAATAAGGGCTTGGCTTTTTAAGCTCCTGCAGCGGCAAAGTCACAGCGACGTCACCAGGAAGTAAAGAGCACACGTACGACAGGGGGCGCGCACGTAAAGAAAGCAAAAGCACGTGTACGTAAAATAAGCAAACAAATGAAGAAAAAAAATTGTACTTTTTATATAATTTTTACGTATTTTTATTGCTTTCTGTGATAGCACGATTTTAGCATATACAGAAATAATTTTAATAGATCCATGGCGTGCACGTACAGAAAGCAAAAGCGCGTGCACGTAAAATAATCAAACAAATGAGCCAAAAATACGTACTTTTTTATCTTTTAAAAGCAACACATTATAAGACTAACGCAAAACAAACAAAAGAACAATAAATAAATACTCTCTCTCTCTCTCTCTCTCTCTCTCTCTCTCTCTCTCTCTCTCTCTCTCTCTCTCTCTCTCTCTCTCTCTCTCTCTCTCTCTCTGTAAGGGGTGGGGGTTGTGGGTTGTGTGTTGTACAGAGTTTCTCAATTGAGTGTTTGCGTGTGTGTATTTTTGTACATTTTTTGTATATTTTTGTACAATGTACATTTTAGGGCTGTCAATTTGCATTTACATATTTTAAGCACACATACAGTAAATCATACAAGCATATGAATACACACATCTTTAGACAACAGTATATTATTCTGTTTTACTGTGCTTGTCCAAATGGGGTTTTGCCACAGTCCATGGGCCAATAATGTGTTTGTTTTTTGTGTCCAACAGCTGAGCAGCCTGCTCTAGAAATAAAGTCCAAAAAGTCTTTGTACCAATTGTCTATGTCAAAGCACTTATGTTTACATTACTTCCAGTTCATCATAATAATACGTTTAGCTGATAAAAAAGCCAATGATAATATGTGGTCAGATTTTTGGGATGAAAAGTCTTGAGTTTTTATTCCAAGCACAGCAGTGGACATGAAGAGATTTGCACATCAAACATACAAGACAGTCTATCAGTTACAGTGTTCCAATGTAGTGTCACTTGTCACTTTTACATATGCTGCTTGTTTTTTGTGATAGCACGATTTAAGCATATACAAAAGTAAATATTACAGTCTATTATTGAACATGTTATGGTTTACAGTTATAGTAAACAAAAGAAAGAAAGAAAAGGTTTAAATTCAAAGCTTTCTGGTGGTTCACTGGTTTGTCTCCATGGAGAATGAACAAGAATAGAATTAAACATATCATTTATTCAACATGTTATATTGTATTATATATTTGCATATGAAATATACTAGTATATTATGTTGCTTGTAAAATATGAAAAACATGCATTCCTACTGTGAGTGAACTCGCCTCTCCACAGATCCTGACTTGTAACTTGGTCTGCTGGCATCATCTGCTTGTTCCAATGATTAGAGAAAGGCCATATTGTGGAACTTCCCTGGTAAAGAAATAGTATCTCCATGGATACAAGCAGGTAGTAGACCCTCCATAAACATTGCACCTTTAACCTACTTTTCCATGGATGAATAAATACACATGATGGTGTAACTATCGGTGTGTAGAGAGGTAACCATTATAGAAATACACAAATGTATTTTGTTTTGACAGTTTAAAGGTCCTATATTTCCCAAAATTGACTCTTTTAAATTTTTTGCCATGTCATAATGTTATGTCATCAAAATCCTTTAGTGTTAGTCTGCCTACATCTCCAGAGCTCAAAGGCTCTGTTCCACTTTGTGATGTCATGAAGCAGCAGTTTTCATTTTATCACCTTTTGTGGTCATATCGGCTTGTCAAAGCCTGATCCTGTCAGATCTCAAAAGCTCAGCAAGTCCAGGCCTGGGTAGTACTTGGATGGGAGACCACTGGGAATTCCAGGTGCCACAGGAGGGCACCAGTAGCAAAATCCATCATTGTGTCCTTAGGCATGACACTTCACCCACATTGCCTAGTATGAAAGTGGTGTGTGTGTGAGTGATGGTGGTGGTTGGAGGGGCCGATGGCGCAGACTGGCAACCTTGTTTCTGTCAGTCTGCCCCAGGGCAGCTGTGGCTACAGTAGTAGCTTACCATCACTGAGTGTTGAATGAACAGCGCTATATAAATGCAATGATTATTTATTATTATAGAGATTGGCAATTCCAGGGCTGAAACTATCCAAATAATTTTAGTGAAGATGTGTGGAGTTTAAAAACACAGTGGAGCATTTCTTGTATTACCACACAACATCACAAGGTGGAACAGATTGTTTTCTGTTTGAGAGAACAAAATATGCAGGGTTTGTGTGTTAAATATCTATGAATAAAACAAAACACAACTCCAGTCTCTTTGTGATGAGGAAACAACATTATAACACAAATCAGAATGGGCCCTTAGAACATTCATCTACATTTTGTCATTAGGGGTGTGCAAAAATATTGAAATATCAATATATCATATCGCTTAATGTGATGATACAGTATCGATATTGTGGGCTGCTGTATCGATATATCGCACAAAATATTTTTGGTATATTCTACTAAATTATTTTGTTACAACTACAGTTTTGTTGCTTGTTCAGGGGAAGGAAAATCATTCATGCGACACTTTTGACTTCTTCTTTCACTGTTTTGATGAGAAAAATTGGTGTTTTTTATGAACTTTGCACAATAAGTGGTTTAACACTTTTAGTATCACACCCAATATTTAAACTTTATTTTTTATTGAACCGTACTGAATAGTTTTGAAATATAACATATCGAATCGAAAAGCTCACTGTATCGAGATATGTATCGTATCGTGGCCTATGCATCGAGGTATGTATCGTATTGTGGCCTGTGTACTGAGGTATGTATCGTATCGTCAATTTCTTAATGATACCCAGCCCTATTTGTCACATATTTTATCTGTCAAATATAGGATTAGAGTAAACTTTGCTCCTTGTTTACCATATGTTTACTAAATTATAGAATTACCAATGCACACATCACATCACATCTGCTGCTTAATCATTCATTCAATAACTGTCTTTATCACTGAGGGGAAACTTAAATATTTGAAGAAGTTAAAATAAGCAGTTAAAAGACAAGAAAAGTGACAAAAACACCTAAATGTGCAGCTCAACACAAGGTCAGAAGAAGATCGTCTTCTCTCTTTTCAGGAAGTAAAATTGAAAATGCTAACAAACCTGTCAAATTTTAAAAAGGAAATTTTAGAAAATTACTTTTTCTATAAATGTACAGTATATATCCATAATTGTGTAATTATGGGTGTGTATAGAGGTAGCTGTGATAGAAACACACTTTTGCAATATCCTTATGTCCAAAAGTATGCACCCATGCAGTTTGTGTAAAACCTGTAATACTGTCCCCAGTAACCACTTTTCAGAAGAGAGAAATTATGTCTGAAAAACCACTAAATCTATTTATAACTTCCCCAGACCACATCCTTGTCTTAGACAAGAGAGTCTGAGGAAGTGAAGCTATGCATTATGTTCAGCAGGCAAAGTATACACGACAAGAAACTTCAGATTTGAGTCACTGTTTCTGATAGAAGAGCCCCACCTACTTGTCTCCATGGAGAGCTGCTACTTTACCTGAAATGTTCCACTGTACAATATTAACAGTTTATACATTCAGTTAGACAGATACTTTATTTATCCTGTCCAGTGACTGTGCTCTGTGGGGGGTGCTGGGGATGATCCAGGATGGACAGGAACTTGTTTAGAGACCTCTTCTCAGCCACAGATATGAGTGAGTCAAGCTCTGCACTAGGGCTGGGTATCCTTAAGAAGTTGCCGATATGATACATACCTCGATACACAGGTCATGATATGATACATATCTTGATACAGTGCACTTTTGATTCAATACAATATATTTCAAATTTATTCAATACGGTTCAATAAAAAGTAAAGCCTAAATAATGGATGTGATACTAAAAGCCTTTATTTAAACCACTTCTTGTGCAAAGTTAATATCAAACACACCCATTTTACTCACCAAAAGAGTGAAAATGTCAAATGTGTCGCATAAATGAGATTCGTTCATTGGAACAAGTAACAAAACTGTGCAGCCCATGATATCGATACTGTATCAGCACATTAAGCAATACGATATATATATATTTCAATATTTTTGCACACTCCTACTATGCACCGACTACAGATGCTGCCTTCCTCACCAGCTCATCCAGTCGCACAGTTCCTTCCCAGCAGACCACAGCGTTGAAGAGGACACTGAAGATTACTGTCTGGTAGAACATCAACAGGAGCTTCTGTTTGAGATGTTAAAGGGACAGTCTGGAATGTTGGACATAGGCGCTCATTTCCTACCTTGCATTTTAAGGATTTATGTCTGAGCAGCAGCAGGTTGTACTTCCTGATAGAAAGCTTGGCACCGGCGGACTGATATATGAGAAAATAGTCCCTCAACATGCTACGATTCATGCGATGCAAGGTTAGTTTTATTTCAAATATTATTCTATCAACACAGACATTCACATCAATAGTCTGGCAAAATAATAGTTGTGCCTTGGATGTTTTGTGGAGTGGGTAAGACTGTTTTTAGTGGCAGAATAACTATGACCATTGACATGCACTAGCCTAGCACCAGCGACCATTGCAAATGCAAGGACTGGATGGAATATTTTAAAAACTGTCTCCACACATCTCCAACACTCTGGCTCACTAGGAAATGAGGTCTTATGTCCAAAATTTCAGACTGTCCCTTTAAAGGACTTCAGGTCTGTATTCTCAGACCAGTCCAGTCTGTGGTCGAGCTGTAGGCCCAGGTACTTTTAACACTTTATGACCTCCACAGTGTCCCCCTCAATGGTCTCAGGTTACAGCTGTGGCCTGCTCCTCCTAAAGTCCACCACCATCTCTTTAGTCTTTGCAGTGTTCAGATGAAGGTGGTTAACCCTGCACCAAAGTCCTCAATGAGCTCCTGTACTTCTCTTCATCACTGGTCCTAATACACCCCACACTGGCTGTGTCACTTCTGCATGTGACACTGCTCTGAGCTGTGTCTAAAGTCCCACTTTATCATTATTTATTTATTTGTATTAGATTTTATCATATACTGTTATCAGCCAAATATTCTGTAAATTAAATGTTAGTCTTTGTTTACCATATGGTTGCCAACTTACAGAATTACCTATGCGTCACTCTGCTACATCACATCACATCTGCTGCCCAATCAGTCATTCAGTCACTCAAATAACTGTATTTAAATGAGTTAAAATAAGCAGTTAAAACACAAGAAAAATGAGGAAAAACTCCCAAAAGTGCAGTGAACAGAAGAACTGGTCTGGTCAGGAGGTCTGGGGGAGCCACGTCAACAGTGAAAAGGAACGCTCTCTTCTCTCTTTTCTATATCCAACCAAGAAGTAAAATTTTTATTTTCATTGGCACAGGGGAACTTTCTTTTTGTACAAAATTAAATTTTCTTGAATCTGTATATACGTATGTGAAGTGTAAGCCTTCTGGTTTGTTGTGGGTTTCAGCTTTCTGCATCATTTGAGGCCTTCCTCCCACATCTTTTCAATTGTTAATCGCTATGGAAACTGCTCTAATTTGTCATAATTATGAAACCCATGGATAGCATCCTCTACTCCAGTTAAATTCATTATTCAATTTTCCAATCAGACATATTTCCTTTTGAGCCCACATTATCTCTCTCTCTCTCACATATGCACTTTCAGACCACAAGTCCAGGTCATGTGACCAAACCAGGAAATGCATGTGTGTCACAGCACTGACCACAGAGCTGTCCATTACCAGAACGATTATGAGGAGAGTGGGAAGTGTGCACACGACTAATACAAACGATCAATAACAGAACAAGAAAGAAAAAGAAGAGAGAGAGAGTAAAAGAGGAGAAGAGAGAGCGAAGAAAGGGAAGAGGAGAGAGATGGAAAGGGGAGAGGGAAGAGGAGAGAGAGGAAGAAATGAGTTAATGAGAGAGAGAAAGAGAGAAGAGGAGTGGTGAATATGATAGACAGTGGAGTGGACAGTAGAGGGGAAGAGAGAGGTAGAGGTAGAGATGAAGGAAATGAGAGAGAGAGAGAGAGAGAGAGAGAGAGAGAGAGAGGATACAGAAAGAGAGCAGAAAAGAGGAGAGAGAGGATGGAGAGAGGAGAAAGGGAGAGGAGAGGGATGATGGGAGGAGAGAGGGAGTGAGAGATGTAGAAAGAGAGAGAGCAGAGAGAGAAGACAGGAGAGAGGATGGAAAGAGGAGTGAGAGAGAGAAACAGTTAAAAAAAGAAAGAGGAGAGAGTGAGTGAGAGAGAGAGAGAGAGGCAGTAAAAAGGGAAAGAGGAGAGGGTGAGGCTACAGAGGCAGAGGCAGCACTGACACTGATCAACTTCAGAATGGAGGTAAGAAACAGATTTGTCATCATTAGTTCAGTAAAGGAGAGAAAATGAGCACAATAATGAGTGTAGAGTTACTTTTTAATTCTTTGTAGAGTTTCTTTCAATGTACAAGCTCTTTATGTGTCATTATATGTGTGTATGAGGATTGGGTCAGGGTTACTTCACTTGATAACGTGGTAAAAATCAAATCTTACAACTGTGTATTTCAAGATTTAGTTAGATTTATAATAATAAAAAAAAAAATGTGCCTTGTAAATTGTAAATCCTTTAATATTCAAGTATGAAATAAAAAAGAAACTTAATAACCAAAGAAAAGAAATGCAATGAATGAAAAAGGACCAAATTGAAACCAAATTTTGCAAAAGATAAAAGTTTGGGCTCGTCAGTGTTTATGTTTCACTGGAAATCCAACCCTAATCTGATTTCTGGAGTTATCAGATTATTAAAATGTCAGAATAGGTACATCTGATGTGAGTAATCTGATTTCTTTCTCATTGCTCATGTGCAGGTTCTGACAAAGAAAAGACAAAAAATAAAAATGTTTAAGATTGAAATTGAGTTTTAATAAAAATGACTGTAGTTTGTTTTTTGTACTTTTAAACACACCAAAATTCAGATCTAATTATTAGGTTATTTTGCTATTCTAGTTATCGGCTTTTTATTACCTCCGCCAAGGAGGTTATGTTTTTGCCGGCGTTTGTCTGTTTGTTTGTCTGTTAGCAACATAACTCAAAAAGTTATGGACCGATTTTGATGAAATTTTCAGGATTTGTTGGAAATGTGAAAAGGAAGAACTGATTTCATTTTGGGGGTGATCCGGAAGAAATCCTGGATTCTGGATCACTTTGAAATTTTAGTTAACATTGTGGTAAATGGGGCCAAAAATTTTGTTTCTCAATATCTCGGTTAATTATTGACCAAACCCCATGAAATTTGACTCAGGGATGGACAATGGGATCCTCTTTCATATTCCAAAGGCTGATCCGGATCTGATCCAGAAGACTGATTTTATCGCAATTTAGATAAAAAATGGGGGTAGTCTTTGGCGGAGGTCTGCGCTCTCTGAGTGCTTTTCTAGTTGGTATTGTAAATGTACAGTATTTTTCGCACTATTAGGCGCTCTGGATTATAAGACGCTCTGTCATTGAATGGTCTATTTTTAAACTTTTTTCACAAATAAATCGCACTGTACTTTAAACGAAACACAACAGTTGAACGGATGAGTCAGTGGGACTTTGTTTGTCGCATTCACAGTGACTCTGGGATTTGTTCAGTTGTGGCGTGCAGGGAGGGTGCTGTTTTCTGCTCCACCAGAAAAGTTACACAATGTACCTTTTAAAAAGTGTGTTTTCTGATCCCAGGCATCAGAGGACAACATGTCGGAGCTGGAGAACGGAATGTTGGCGATCATTAAAGTTTTCCACAAATATTCTGGACAAAAGTGCAAACTGAGGAAGGCGGAGCTTAAGGAGCTGATCAACAATGAGATGAACCATTTCATAAAGGTCAGATCTGCAACAGAAATGACATTAGTGTTTGCTATCAAATCACAAATTGGATCCTTCCTGAATGTTTTTATAATTCAGTTAAGAAAGTTTGCATGGTAACATTACAGAAACTGCAGTGACTGTTAAAAAATACATTTGCACATAAAATAATGTTATTATGTGTGCACATTATTAATATTAAATGTATATTTAGATAATCATTCAAACCATTACTACAGTAAAACCATGGAATCTTACAATTGCAGGGTTTCAGATGGAATTTTAAAGATATAGATAAAGGGGACAGCTAAAATGAATATTGTTAAAATAATAAACTGCATAAAGAAGTGGACTAAGTGAGTGTGACGTCACCCATAGCGCTCAGCGCCGCGCAAATGAGGCTCGCAATGTTCATGGTTACCGGAGCCAATCTGGAGCCAGGCTCTATGTTATGAATAAAATTTTTCTGATGGACAAAATAGCGAAAAAAATAAATAAATCATGTGTCGTGGGTTAATATGAACATTTTAAGACCAAAATGTCAAGGCTCACTGCAGCAGTTACAGAGAAAGGGGCCACAAGATCCCAATTTAAATCAATTGGAGCCTGGGTCAGAAGGAGCCGGAAGAGCCTCCTGGCGAACTTCCTATTTGGCACAAGGCGGCTAGTGCGTTAGCTATGTCCACTCATATATACGGTCTATGGTTAAAATGCAGATTTGTGTGGTAATATATAAATGGACATGGCTAACACGCTAGACACGTTCCAAACAGTAAGTTCATATGCGGGCACCGGCTCCTGCTCACCCTGTCTCCCACTGACTTACATTGGAATATTGTGGCCCCTCTCTCTAAATGCTAGCCAGGCTGGTGCCACCTAGTGCCTCTGCTCAATTTTATTTCTCTCCAACAACTAGGTCAGGAATCAGAATACAATAGATGGTTCGCAAAAACCCCAGAAGTGCAAGTTCGGGCACCAGCCAATCAGCGAAGAGTCATATATTCAGTGTTGGCAACGATTCCTGAGATCGAGGATTTAAAGCCGGAACAAAGAGAATGTTTGATGAATTTCATCAAAGACGTTATTGTCCTTCTTCCTACGGGATTTGAGAAAAGCTTAATATACCAGTTAGCTCCGTTAGCAGCGCATTACATACGTTACAACCAAATAGCAGCAATTGGTTAAATTAAAAAAGTACCCGCCTACTGTCGAGCAAACGGAATCTAAGGCTGTGAGGTCAGACGGTTTGTATGAAGTGAAACGAAGTAAAACCGGCAGATTAATCAGGCTATGTAACTGCTGCAGAGCCTCATTCATTTTGGTCTTAAAATGTTCTTATTAACCCGCTCTACATGATCCTGTTTTTTTTTTTTTTTTGCTAATTTGTCCATCAAAAAAATCCTATCCATAACATAGCCTGGCTTCAAACTTGACCCTGTAACCGCTAACATCGTGAGCTTCATGTGAGTGGCGCCAAATGCTATGGGTGACGTCACACTCACTTAGTCCACTTTTTTATACAGTCTATGCTCTATGCACAACAGCGCCTGGCAACCACACTCACTACTTCCTGTCCAATTTGATCTCTATGTGGTTTTTGCTGAGTCGTGCAAAAATGAATAAATGTTTAAAGATAAGACAGTGAACAAGGAGCTGAGGGTGGATGTGACTGACATCATGACAACAAAGTACACAAAAAATAAAATGAATACTTCAGTGGAGTACACTTCTGTGCTAAAAGAGATGTTTGTGTCTCAATGCTAACTGTAGCGGCCAAACTTGCCCTGTGCAAGATCTACGGCTGCAGTGTGTGTGGCATGTTGAACATGTGTCTGCCTTAAAAGAGTCAAAAAATAGTGTGTTCCTCGATAGTTTATTGGCATCACTCACAGCCATACACAGATCTAGCCCTCTATAGACCATGACCAAAAGACTGTTTACCTCCACACTACAACACCTGAGTGCGCTTTTTGCTCTCCTTTTATTGGGAAGGTAATTACATAAAAAATTACAAATAGCGTCTCACAGTGGTGGGAGCTACACACAGGCAATATGGCTCCAACACTAACGCTAATGCTAATTTTGAGGTACAATAAATATTAAAACAATACCAGAAATTTAAGTATTCTACATATACAATAACTGAATAAAATCATTCTGTAGTCTTTATTTTCATTAATTAGAATTTGAATTGGTTCTTTATTTTGTATTTTATGATTTCAGTAAAAGCGACTGTTAGCTTTGAGACACAGTGAGTGAGACAGCGCGCTGCTGTGCACAAACTTATTTGTGAACTCCATAAAGGGTGTGTCAAGATTCAAGAACAAACCAGTTGTTTATGTGTTCGTAAAATAAAATGTTTGTTTCCGTTAGCACTGTTATAACTATTACCAAATCTTTTGCATTGTGAAAAAAAAAAACTAAGCAAAAAACAAGTTGTCCCATAGAACCCATGAAACAGCCTTGCAATTCACTGACAATATATCAGGTAGTACTCTGCCTCAGTCCTTAAATACTGATTGTGTCTTTTTTTTTCTTTTTACAGACAATCCACGAGAACGAGACCCTGGACCAGCTCTTCACAGACCTGGACCAAAACGGAGACCAGTGGATCGACTTCCCGGAGTTCATCACCCTCATTGCCATGGTGACGTCTGCCTGTCACGACCTCTTTGGGGCCAAAAATTAGTGTCTATGACAGACTGGACTACTCATTTGTCATTATATTTAGATTTTTCCAACAAAATTTGAAATTCTTTCCCAGTTTGACCATTTTTAAGTTCAAAATTTTACTTACATCACAAAAGGAAATTCCGCAACTGTTACCTACCAACCATGTTATAGAGTGGTCTAAAACCCCTCTAAAGATTATACAAATAAAAACTTAAGAAAACAACTTTATTTTGTTCAAGTAATGTTGAAAGTATCTGAAAAAATGTGTTTCTAGTGTCAAATGAGCTGAACTTTTGGATAGAATTCTCCCTATAACGTGATGTCATGATTTTGTTTTAAAACTCTCTACTTCCTGTAATTTTCAACATATTTTCCACTTGTCTTCACAAACTGCTTCTTCATTGATGTAAAACTCATTTATATTGACAATATATGTTAGCAAGCCAAATTTAGTCTAAATTTGAAAATCATGAAACCAAACATGCAAAACTAAGTGTACAACAGGACTGAACAAATTTAACTGCATGTTTATATAGTCAACTGAAAATGAAATGAAAATGTGAATATTCCTTAGTTTATAGAATGTTTATCGATCATTTATAACATGATTATACTTTAGGTTCTTATGTACAGACCTCCATTAGTTCAAGGTATGAAAAATAATAGAGGTCTGTACATAAAAATCTAAAGAATAATTTGATATGTTTTTGTGATTTTTAGTCATTACTTTTTGTGAGTCTAATTTTTCAGTTTTTAGGATGCTGTTTGTAACTTTCCTAATGAGGCACCTGGCATAGCATGATACATGTTTTCATATTTTGTTTAATTGCCTGAAAAAATGTGCATTTTGCAAAAATAATGGCGCCAAAGAACAACCCAGTGTTGTTTATGTCTCAATAAAACAAAAGTTGCCTGTGGTTTATGTGTCATTCTTTTCAACAACAACTGTTCCAACAAAGAGAAACACAATTTATTTAAAAAGAAACAAAATACACATGTATTTAAAGGCTGAAGAAGGTTGAATATATTGCATGTTTATTCACCTGCTTCTGACCTTATTGAATGACTGCAGCATTTCTTCTAAGATAATAAGACAAATTTGTGTGCAAAGAATGAACTAAATGTTTAGTCCATAAAGGCAAGTTTTAACACATAATGGGATCTAGTGCAATGAATAGTGTCAATCCAAGTCCTTGCTTGGCAAATCCAGAATGAGAACTAGTTGTTTAATTACATAAAGTTATCAGTCTGGTCCCCACTACCTCTGTCCAGGCTTAAGTTATGATCGTCCAGTCAGATTTGTTTTTCCAATGACACATGTGAAACAAAGAAGCATTGGTTAACCATAATTTATAAACAAAATTACATTTCTCTCACCTCAGATTACAAGTTTAGTTTTTAGTGCTTTAACATGATCTAAACACAAAGAACTGACATAGCTGGAACTAGAACAGGTGAGATTATTGGTGAGATTATTTGTGTGGTTAAACAAGTCTCTCACACATACATTTAAAGTCACAAGCTAGGTAGCATTAGCCAACAGTTTTTCAGTTAGTCTTACCTTTTGTTGAAAAAAAAAAAAACTAAACAGGATTATGAAAGCTTTAATTGTTCTCAGGCTCCAGAAAATGTGTTGTTTAAATCCATTTTGTGTTTTTCCTGAGTTTCTTGCTTCTTTCTGCTAACATGTTAAAACACTAACACTACCCCAAAACAATGGTTTAACCCAGTGCTTCTCAATTTTCTGTCATGCCCCCCCTAGGAAGAATAAAACATAAATAAATAAATAATAAATAGTATCATTTGTCTATAAAATTGTTATAAGTACAACTCTGCATAACACTGCCACCTTATATGATGCCAAGAACGCTCGCTGGTTTACTGAAGTAGCAGTCACAAAGCGGGATGATTGTCGGCAATATTCGGCATGTTTTCGCTGAAAAAACTCAAGCGGCTTATCAGAGTGATTGGGGTGTAATGTATTTAAGTGACGCCTTAATTTATTGGGCTTCATGCTGTCGGCTGCCAACATTTTTAGACACAGTAAGCACACCGGTCTTTCCTCGTCTCCCACCGTAGTCACAGTGAAGCCAAGCGCTACATACGCTTCGTCATATTTCCTCGTCTTAGCTTTCGGGAGATTTTCGTTTGTCTCTTTATCTCCGTCTCTCTCCACCTGTCTTCTCATCCCTGTTAAATATTTTTTCATGGTGTCACTTGAGGGTCTGCTACACTTCGTGTCTACACTTCATACTCAAACTCTGTGCTGTGTGCAAAGTGCGCATGCTCAGTGCAAACAAAACTCCTACACCACCGAGCGAATGCTCCCTGCGCACACTCTGCCAATGAGAGCGCCACTTTATTCTAGAACAGTAAAAAAAAATAAAAATAAAAAAATAAAAAAGCATGTTCCCCGAGGTCAAACGCGCCCCCCTTGACGGAGCCTCGGGGGGCACGCCCCACTATTTGAGAAGCACTGGTTTAACCCAAGCCATTTTCCACATATTCACATAATCCTGTTCCTAAACTTAACCATGACCCTAACCATAACCATAATCATAACCAGTTTTCTAACTTCATAAACTTCATCTAACCCATTTAAGCATTAGCCTTTTGCAGTGTTGGGAGTAACGCGTTATAAAAGTAACGAATTACAGCAATGCATTACTTTTTGCTGTAACGCAGTAATGTAAGGCATTACAGGGGAAAAAATAGTAATATTTTACTCGATACAATGTTTTTTTTTTTACCTGGATTGAAGTGGTGGGTTTTTCTTCATACAAATTCGCTAAAATCACCTCGATATCAGCAGCGGTGAAACGCCGGAGATGCGCCCTCATAGACCTTCAGGTAACCGCGGGCGAAAGGACTGACAAAGAACTCCACGCTGTTTAGACCTGGTTTAGACCTGGGTCAGTTCTGGTTTAGACCTGGTTTACACTCGTCCCTCCCTCTATCGCAGTTCACTTTTCGCTGTTTCGCAGATTTTATTTTTATTTTTTTGTGCAATTTTGCATGCCTTTTTTTTTTTTTTTACATTGTATGAATGGGTATTGCGTTCCTCCCGCTGCGTCCTGACTGGCCTAGGGACTCCTGTCTCCTGTACAGAACAGTACAGAATGTGTTCAGCTGCCAAATTTAAATACATGTTCAGTCTCTAGCAGTGTGATTCTGAAGTGCTGTACGGTTGCAAGTTTTCTTCCCGACGAAACCCACAACGTCGACGAAACGTTCTGCACCGACAAAGGCTCCTCCTGCACCCAAAAGGCAGAGGAAGATGCAAACCACCACACAAAAAGTTGGACTTCTGGACACGCTGAAGGAAGGTAGAAGTTACGCGCTGTAACAGACTCTTGCACCGGCTCGGGTACCTGCAAATAGTTGCTGAAATCAGGGCCGCGAGCCCGAGCAGCAGGGTCCATAAAGAGCGATCGGGTGACAGCCGCTCTTACCTCCGCGAGGTGCGGAGCAGAGCCGCTCCTTTCTCCTGCGGTCTCCTTCGAGCCCTTCCCTACAGTGAGTCCTGTTTTAGTCCTAGTTCACTTCTGGTTTAGTCCTAGTTCAGTTCTGGTTTAGTCCTGGTTCAGCTCTGGTTTAGTCCTGGTTTAGACCTGGTTCAGTCCATATAGAGCGCAAAAGTTACTTTGGTGAGAGTAACTTAAAGTAATGCAATAGTAATGTAATGCCTTACATTTTAAATGCAGTAATATTGTAATGTAATGAATTACTTTGAAATGACAGTAATAGGTAATAAATACCGCATTACAGTTTCAAAGTAACTTGCCCAACAGTGGCCTTTTGTGGACTTGATCAGAATATAGAAGGAACAGGCTCGTCAGACAAATCCATTCTAATGGTGTGTAGAATACGCACCAGAATATAAGACGCATCAACTAAGATATATATATATATTTTTTAACATATATAAGTCGCACTTGTCTATAAGCAGCAGGTGTCCACATTCTAACTTGAGATATTTACACAGAAAGATGGTACACAGAAAGATTTTTAAAAATTTGTATTAAATACCAGTACATGCGTTTTCCAAACAGTGCTTGTAACACGGCACTTAAAAGTCAGTATTACGAGAGGATTATTTATTACAAAGAGCCTCTGTCCTGTCTGTATCATGTCAGTGTTTTGTAGGATTTCAGCAGATTTCAGGCTCTCCTGGGGGCGGGGCTAGGTGAATCGAGCATGTATGAGTGGATGTTTGGCTACTGAAGTTTGATATGTTTCTTCTCCTCATTTAAACACTCACCTGCGTTTAACACATACGGGTCATTAAACTGTATCCCCCTCTCTAATGTTAATTTAGCATCATAACTTATTTTAGCACATGTTTTCATGCACTGACAGCTGCACTAGCTAGTGTTGCAACTTCATGTTAACTTCACAGACAGCGGTGCTTTCTGCACTCTGGCTGCAGGCACATCCGTTGTGTTGATAAACAAATAATCCATCCATATATTAGCCACATCGTTGTATAAGCCGCAGGGTTCAAAGTGTGAGAAAAACGTAGTGGCCAGTAGTCCGGAAATTACCGTAGTCAGGTGCCATTTTAATGCCCTACCCTCTGTCTCCTCTGAGGTGAGTTTCCATGAACTGGTGTACCTTTCTCCATGCTTTTTCAGTGTAGTGTCGTACTGGCACCAGTGGAGACAGACTCACGTTTCTTTGGTTTGACGCTCCACAGACCCATTCGGGTGCTGGGGGTAAATGGAGGCTCGACAAGGTGCCCGGCTCCTGGATACGACAGGCGGGTGAACAGGTGACCCTTACCACAGGCGTTTAGGGTCTGCTCCAACTGAACAAGAGGAACAAGTGTTAGACTAATCAGGCAACACATGAAAACCACCTCTGACTCACTGCTTCTTAAAGAAAAGGCGTTCTACTTCTATGGATTCAATCTTTTATCATTTAAAAAAATGCTGTATCTGTCAGAAACAATGTATTAACATGTTTTATAAGTTTCACTTTCTTTTTTGACTCTGAGCCTCCCTTTGCTCTCCATGCTAAGTCACTCCCTCTTCAGAGCGGTATCACAGCTTACATTGTACTAATGAAACTACAGCACATCTCCTCAGATTTGTCGAGTTGTATCATGTTTTTCTATTTATGGAGAATTGTCATGTGCGAGCATGGGCGATGTAGGCTTGTGGGCGGAGCATTGGACAGAATCTTACATCTTAACCTTTACACATATTACTGCACCCTCCCAATGTGCACTAGATTTAGTTTTGTTTGCTTTACTTTGGATTGCTCTTGTTCACATTCACGCACATCATTCACCCCAAACATGCAGCATGAGCCACATGAGAGCCATTGGCTGATCAATTTTTATTTTTTATTTATTTTTATTATTTATATTATTATTTATGGACTTATTTCCATAACACTGGCTTCAAGGGAACAGAGCCCCGTGAATATGCACGCATTCGTGAGGACTATACACGCTGGTGTATAGGCACGTGGCTTTTTGTGCGACATGCAGACAGACCCGGGATCACCTGTGCAGACAGACCCGTTGTCACCTGCGCAGACAGATCCGGGGTCACCAGGTGGTCTCAGAGCTGACTGATAATGTGAATCAGAATGTGGCTGTTATGTTCACACCAGCTGTCAGAGCAAATGCTCTTTTACATCAATTTGACGAGTAGCAGCGTGAAAACCTCAAACTTATTGACCATTCCAGTGTTTGTAAACAGTCCTGATAAATACTACATTCACTTATTGTTCAATATGAATGCTGAAACAATATATTTTGGGGCTAAATATTTATTGTGTGTACAGTTTCTTTGCAATAGTGAGAAGATTTTTATTTTTTTTTATTTTTTTGAGTTGTAGAGGATTGAAAAAATAACTTCTATTATTAGTTCAATCTGCAATTGAATTGTTGCACTTCATGCTTTTTAATGATACAGTATATTTAAAAATAGGTTTACTGGGATTATCCTGCTTTATGTCAGTGGAATAAAGTAGTTTTGCAATATTTCTTTGCAACTATATTATGCTTTGTTTGTTGTTTGTTTTCGTGACCTTTAACTAATGAAAAACTATGATACAAGGGTAAACTGTGGTGCTATTCTTCTAAACCAAAAGTAATTATTCCAAAAACTTGAAAACTATAGGCACTTGAAAATAATAAACAGCCCTTACCAGATCAGCGTTCTCTGCAGAATATGCCATCAAGTCATTCCCACTGACAATATACAAGACCGGACAAGAAATCTTCTCCATCTCAGAAAACAAAAACAAAAAAGCAATCAGTAAAATTGTGAAACAGACTGACAAACACAGAATAAAGTATAATGCATTACTGTGGTGGATACCTCTGCCACCACTTCATAGTGTCAGTATTATTTAATTTCACTTACATTGATTCATTACATTACATATAATTTAATTCCTTTTATTTAGATTTATATTCTAATTTGAGTACACACATTTTAGTTAATATAAATCTGATTTACTTACACTTGTTCTTTTTGGGTTTTTTGAGCACCGGACACAGGATCCTTGGGAGAGACCATCATGACTCAACAAGAAGGGGGGAGCACTATTTAGTTAGTTATATTCAGTTACTTTGTTTAGTTTGTGTTGAGGTCACTTTATTATCATTTATTATTTTCTGTATTATAATTATTTGCCTTTTGTTACTTTGATGAAGTTAGTAGTTTTAGTTAATTAATTAGTGTAATTCCTCCCTCTTGTGTTCAGCTTTAGTTGGTCCTCTGGTATTTAAACAGCCCTGTTCCTTTGTCTGGTTAGGTTAGTTTTGTTCCGTTCAGTTTGATTTTGAGTTACCCCAGTTGGGCCCGGCTTTTTTTGTTAATAATTTGCCTAATTTGAGCCTTTGTTAGTTGTTGTTGGACTTTATTAAATTTAAACTTATTTTTATACCTTGTCTTTGCCTTTCTGTTTGGTCCACTACAGTTACCTTGACTATGTGTGATGGTAGTAGATTCGCCGGGAGGGAGGCTTCCCGGAAGATAATATGGCCATCATAGATGAAATTCCAGTATTTTGGGTGACTAAAACACAATTACCAGTAAATAAAATATTAGTTAATTGTCTTGCTACAAGTAGGTAATCTGTTTCCCATTATCTTTGCATATTACAGTTTGATGACAAGCATAGACCATGAGCAGTGGTGAACCCTCCACACAGCAAAAGCACAACCACATTCTGGTGGTGGCACTTCCGGGGATCCCATTCATTTAAATAAAGTGAACAGAATTAAAATGTACACGGTAAAATCTTGAGTTCTCCCCTCATCGTCAGAGAGTGGAGCGACGCTGCCCACTGGTCCATTTATGCAAATCAAACAAGACAGCTGCAAAAAAATAAAAATAAATAAAGGTGCTGTACATGATTTTTTTCCCCATATATTTGAGCAGAGTTAGTTTAGCTCTAGTTCAGATATATTTTAAAAAAGATGTTTTTATGTCAATAAGTCCACTGTGCACTACCTACATCTACTTATAAAGCATTTTATTGCCAGATAGCATGCTGTTGTTAAACTCCACCTTAAATTCCACTTAAGTCTCTAAAAGCTGTGAAAAAAGTTCATAACATCATGGTGAATAATTAGAAAGCTCTGTATACAAGTTAAGTGAGGAATACATTTGGACCACTGCAAACTGTTTACAACTACTTTTTTCAGGTTTTTAAAGATAGGAAACATCTGGTAGGACTAAGTTTTCAAATAAACATTTTTACAACCTGACATCAGAGTAAAACAATATCAAAAATACTATTAGACCTGGAAGTTTTTTCATCATTCTGTTGCTACTTTGCAGTTGATGTCATCAACATTCCCTGGAGGTATGAATGTAACTATAGGCACTGCTCTGTTAGAAGCTCTGGTACTCAAGGTAGACTTTAATCTGAGCTATATTTTAACTAAAATATAAAAGAGCTGATTTAGTTGGAATCCCATCAGTAGATCTGATTTGTGCTATTTAACAAGTTTGTTTGAAAATCAAAATCAATCAATTTGTTGAAAATCAAACTCCTGAACAGGACCATGAACACTCGTGAAAATGGGTGATTTAATTCCATTTTGCATTTTTTCTTGAGTTTTGTATATGGGTGTGCTACTGTGTGCATTGTGTCACCCTGATAAGTTAGGTAGAACACCCCGGAACAATCTAGTGTGATGTTACTGCAAAGTATCAATCTTTATCAATCTTTCAAAATTAGAACTAAACCAGGACTAGCCCAAAGGATCAAAATAGGACCAAATCAAGTCTAGATCAGGACTGAACCAGACTCAAACCTGGACTAAAAAGAATACTCTTGTGGCATACCTTAATTTCAGGTAAAGTGGCTATTCTCAGAGCCAGGTAACCTCCATAAGAGAGGCCCATGATCCCCACTCTGTCCCGACAAATCTGATCATGGTCCTGGAGGAACTTAAACGCTGTCTGTAAAATGATTTTTATTATGAAATACCACACTGCTCAAGTATAAATATTGAAAAAAAAAAAAATCAAATCAAAAATCAAATCATGTTTTCACAACAGAAAAATGTCAAACTTTATAATAACTAGTCTTGTTATGATACTAAAAATTCTAAACTTAAATAGGCTCGATAATCAATACTGATTCTGATACAACAATGATAATTAAAAACACTCTTTCTTTAGACAATAGAATGTGATTTTCAACATTAAATTGCGCTTTCTTTTATATTACAATGTGGTCTTATGTGTGTAATCCCTCAGTGTTCCAGGTAGGTTCCATAGGCGTATACTAATATATGTGCTCTTATACTTGTTCTGATACGACTCAAGATCATTTTAAAGCTATTCACAAAAGGTTCATTTCTGTCCTGTGAATGTGACTTTTTAGTATCAACCTGCTCAAATGAGTATCTAGTTTCAATACTAGTTTTAGTATTGACTAGTATCAGATTTTCAATACTTTTGACAACCCTAGTAATAGTCTTAGCCTGAATTAGCCTCAAAGCTTGAACAAAGACATCATTCATAATGAACAAATAATTAAGAATTAATTCGATTTAGTAACTACTCACCGTAATTTAAATACTAAACCTAGCTCCTAACCCTAACCCCTCAAGTCCCTACTAAGCCTGAATCATTCTTATTTTCATTGTTATTAAAAGCCCTGTACTAAATTCTTTCCATGTTTTTGAGCAAACTGTGTTTTGCCCCAGTACAGATGTACTGTATAAGCAGCTCTTGAGGTCAAAATACGCCTGCTGACTACATCTAATTAGATAGCGTTCTGATCATCAGGAAGTGCAATTTAGCATGCTAGTTGTGACAGCAACCTTTGCTCTGCTTGTGAAAAAGAGTTTATGAACTTATTGCGATGAATAATGAAGACACTTAATGCATGTGTAAGGAAGTTTTTAAGACTAAAAATTTGGTACATCGCATTTAACTGTTCAAATGATGTTTTTCCTCCTAAATTACAATTTCAGTTTTATTATGAAGTATTTTTTAATGCTATATGGCCCAGATCCATCAAATTATTATGTACTCAAGGTCACAAAATAAATTTTGACATTTGACAAATTACATTTTATATTAAAGCAAAGGAGAACTTTAATTCCATCTGTTAATCTAATACATTTTGCAGTTGACAAAACTGAAGTTCCCCTTTGCTTTGCTAAGTCTTCTATCTGGATGGCAGGGATTTCACAAACATTCTTTGTATATATATATATACTATATATATATATATATATATATATATATATATATATATATATATATATATATGTGTGTGTGTGTGTGTGTGTGTGTGTATGTGCACACACACACACACACACACACAGTGGGGCTTGGAAAATGTAGATAAATATTTGATATAAAACAAATTCAAGTACATTCAAGTTGGAATGGGAGTTCTGTCTCACCTTGAAGTATGTGTTCCCAACATTGATTGTATTTAGCGGCCCGGGCAGATCCTTGTGCCCAAAGTATGCCAGGGACAAGCTAGCGTAGCCTCTAGATGCTAACAAAGCCGAGCGGTACTCCACCAAACCTCCAGCTATCCCCAACAGATCTAAAATGGCTGGGAATGGACCAAGACCTGCAAAAATGTATGCAGTGATTAATCATTTAATACATAGTTTATATTTTGCATATTTGTAGCAGCAGCAAATTAAGTAGTTGTGGTAGGAAAAATAGTAGTAGAGCAGTACAGAGAGGAAAGACCCTCTGGATGTCTGAGGCAGGGTAAGTTTATTTACCATCAGTCTGGGACCCGGTGATTTGAATACTCAACACTGCATGTAGTATTCAAGCCTGACTTTGCTTCCACACAAGGAGGTTTAAATAAAAACAGTCTGGAGACCAGACCAAGGAAACAGATCATGTTAACCCTCTCCAGGCAGGTGTTGCAGATTTGCAACAGCTAAATTCCAAGTACCTACTTACTCTACATCCATATTATATGAGCTTTTTTTACTCAGGAGCCTTTTTCCCATCCATGCTGATAAACGTGGGTGATGCAGACTGTGCAAGAATGGCTCCACGCAAACGGCCTGCCAGAAGTGCAAAATACTTTTTTTGTTTACAAAGGATAAAAAAGTCAGAATTGTATATTACTACCCCATATTATAATTTTCCCCAAATATCAGATTTTTCCTGATACTAAAATTAATTTGAGCCTGAGAGGGTTAAAGAAGGGCAAATTCTGTAACAGTTGGATGACGCCAGAGCTAAACACAGATAAATGCCGACAATAAACCCCCAGCCCCACACTCTCTCAATTTAACATCTTTGTTTGAAATGTGATTGTGGGTAGCAATTTGTCCAGTTTCAATCAAAGGTAATAAAGGTAGTACAGTTGAATTACTTTAATCTGTGTAAAAATAGGACTTGTGTCTGATCACCTGGGGGTAGAAATAAGGTCCCTACAAGTCCATTTTGTCGGATCTCGATCCTCTTAACCCCTGGAGCCATGTACCAGCGCTCAGTGGAGATGGAGGCCAGCTCTGTGTGCTCTGCTCCCCGGTGACCTAGAGAAACGTGGCCCTCCAAAACAGACACTTTAAACACATAGGGAGTGTGCGTGTCCCTCTTTCTCAACCTGTGGACAAACCATAGATTGTATAATGATGACCTTGAGGGTCCAGAAAGCACCTAATAAATAAAATATTTTTTATTATTAAGATTATTAGTCAAATATAAGTGGGCTAAGTGAGTGTGACGTCAGAGCATTCGGTTGCATCCAAAAGAAGATCATCGAGGCTAGCAGTTATAGCAACGAATCTGGAGCAAAATAACTTAGAAAGACAAGCTTTCCTAACTTTGAGTGAGGTCCCCTCTCCGCAGATCTGACCTGTAACTTAGCCTGGTGGCAGTACCTGCTTGTCCACTTGGAAATAAGTAATATATATTATTATTATATATATATTATATTTCTTTAAAATAATATTCAAATCATATGTTTACAATTTTTCAGAAATGTCTTATATTTTTGTATGTATGACCAAAATGTGCCTGGTATTTTTCACAAAATGTGACAATTGGGTTTAGAGCTAGTAGTTAAAGCATATACTAGTATAGTAGTTTCCTCTGGTTCATTATTGATGCTTTCGTTGACTCCTGTATCCATGGTTAATGTTGTAGCCATGGGTTTTCTTCACCTGCCTTAGTCCCTCTCTCTCTCCTGGAGCCGGCGCCAGACTCCAGAACAGCCCCATCGGTTCAAAGCCGACGAATGAGCCCCCGACTGAAGAATGTGTGCACACTAAAGAAGAAGAGACAGAGGAGAAGGAAGTCAAACATATTTGATCACATCAGAGTCAAAGTCACCACATAAAAACTGAAAAATTCCATTCATCCATCCATTTTCTTCCACTTATCCGGGGCCGGGTCACGAGGGCAACAGTCTAAGCAGGGACTCCCAGACTTTCTTCACCCCAGTCACTTCCTCCAGCTCCTCCGGAGGACCCCGAGGTGTTCCCAGGCCAGCCGAGAGACATAGTCCTTCCAGTGTGTCCTGGGTCTTCCCCGGGGCCTCCTTCGGATGGGACATGCCTGGAAAACCTCCCAATGGAGGCGCCCAGGAGGCACTCATAACAGATGCCTGAGATACCTCAGCTGACTCCTCTCGATGTGAAGGAGCAGAGGCTCTACTCCCTGCTCCTCCCATGTGACTGAGCTCCTCACCCTATCTCTAAGGGAGCACCCAGCCACCCTGTGGAGGAAACTGATTTCGAGCGCTTGTATCTGCGATCTTGTCCTTTTGGTCATTACCCAGAGCTCATGACCATAGGTGACAGTAGGAACGAAGACTGACCGGTAAATAAAGAGCTTCGACTTTTGGCTCAGCTCCCTCTTCCCCACAACGGTCTGGTACAGAGACCGCATCACTGCAGATGCTGCACCGATCCACCTGTCAATCTCACGCTCCATCCTCCCCTCATTCGTGAACAAGACTCCAAGATATTTGAACTCCTCCACTTGAGGCAAGGACTCTCCACCCACCCAGAGAGGGCAAGCCACCTTTTTCCGGTGGAGAACCATGGCCTCGGACTTGGAAGAGCTGATCTTCATCCCAGCCATGTCACACTCGGCTGCAAACCGCCCCACTGCACATTACAGGTCCTGGCCTGATGAAGCCAACAGGACAACATCATCTGCGAACAACAGAGATGAAATCCTGTGGTCCCCAAACCAGACCTCCTCCAGCCCTGACTGCACCTAGAAATTCTGTCCATAAATACCATGAACAGAACCGGTGACAAAGGGCAGCCCTGGCGGAGTCCAACATGCACCGGGAACAGGTCTGACTTACTGTCAGCAATGCGAACACAGCTGCTCTGGTCATACAGGGGCTGAACAGCCCTTAGCAAAGGGCCTCGGACCCCATACTCCCAGAGCACCCCCCACAGAACACCACGAGGGACAAGGTCGAATGCCTTCTCCAGATCCACAAAGCACATGTGGACTAGTCGGGCAAACTCCCATGAACCCTCGAGCACCTGATGGGGAGTATAGAACTGGTCCAGTATCTCACAGCCAGAACAAAAACTACACTGCTCCTCCTGGATCCGAGGTTCGACTATCAGCCCGATTCTTCTCTCCTGTACCCTGGCATAGACCTTACCGGAGAGGCTGAGAAGTGTGATTCCTCTGTAGTTGGAACACACCCTCCGGTCCTCCTTCTTATACAGAGGGACCACCACCCCGGTTTACCAGTCCAGAGGTACTGACCCCGACCGCCACGCGATGTTGAAGAGGTGTGTCAGCCAAGACAGCCCTGCAACATCCAGAGATTTAAAATACTCAGGACGGATCTCATTCACCCCCCAGAGCCACCAAGGAGCTTGCCAACCACCTCAGTGACTTCTGCCAGGGTGATGGATGAGTCCACCTCCGAGTCCCCAGCTTCAGCTTCCTCCTCGGAAGACGTGACAGTGGGATTGAGGAGAACCTCAAAGTATTCCTTCCACCGCCGGACAACGTCCCCAGTCGAGGTCAACAGCTCTTCCCCTGCACTGTAAACAGTGTTGGTGAAGCACTGCTTCTCCCTCCTGAGGTGCTGAACGGTTTGCCAGAATCTCTTTGAGGCCATCCTATAGTCCTCCTCTATGGCCTCCCCAAACTTCCTCCCAGCTCTAAGTTTAAGCCTCTGCGCACATCGGTGCCTGTCAGCTGCCTCAGGAGTCCCACGAGCCAACAAGGCCTGATAGGACTCCTTCAGCCTGACGGCATCCCTTACTTCCGGTGTCCACCATCGGGTTCAGGGATTGCTGCTGCGACAGGCACCACAGACGTTACGACCACAGCTTCGAGCGGCCACATGGACAATAGAGTTTGAGTTGGATGCAAAGTGGTTCCTTTGAATCCTTGATGTAATGGACTTCTATTGAAAAAACATCACTCCTGGCACACTCTCCACTGCTTCTCATTCTGGCCTTAAAATGTTTGAACCCTACATGTTAAATCAATGTACAGCGTTTATCTATCTGTCTTTTTATTAAAGGTGCACTGTTTAACTTTTCTGGTGGAGAATTCACCACCTGCTTGTCTCTGGGTTGTTATTGCTTTGCATGGAATGTTCCACAGTATGACATTATGTTAAACTTACTTATCTTCAATAGAGAAATCCAGGTCTCAGTGAACTGAATACAATATTTGAACTCACAGTCGACAGTTCCCTCTGAGTCTGTGTTGTAGTGTGCATAGGACTGCCAAAGGTCTCCGTCCTCACAGAACATCTGAGTGGACAAAGTGACCGGAGCCACAGCAGGCAGGAAACGGGCTCTAATCCACATCTTTTCATCAATGAGCGCCCTGCAGGGGTCAGCAGAGAGCAGAGGGCCAGGTCTGAGGCTGCTGCCATGACGAACATTCACCAAAACACCTGAAGAAAAACAAATATAACGATTCACCTTCACGACCGAGATGAACCAAGTTTAATTTTTTCATATTAATTTTTTACACTGATTTACACCAACACAAATCTGAGCAAAAGTAGGCAACACAAGAGGGCTTTTTGCTCAGTAATATTTGGCATCATAAAAATAACTGTATTGCAATTGTCTGACAGATTCACAATAATATCTCCGTAGATTTTTTTTTTTACAGATGGACATCAGCGTGGCCCCCATCCAGAACCAAATGTGATCATAGGCCTGTCACGATAACAAACATTAAAGTAGAAAATATAGACGATAACTATGCCACTGAAACAATAACTCTCAAGTAGAATTATCCACAAAATACTATTCTAAATTTTCACATACCACCACCAGACAAGTTGTGGAGAATGAGGATCATGTCCAGACAATTTTATTCACGCATACCGCTATAGCGGTGTTTTAAAAAAAAAAAAAATCAAAATATTATGTTCAGTAGATGTCAGCATCAGCTTTACTGTCATGATTTGTCACTTCTCGGTCAGGAGTCATCTTGGTTGCCTTGTTAAACCTTACCCAAATGCTGGTTCAACAGGTTGGGTCATTTCAAGTCTAACTTAATGACAGATATTTTCCCGCCTTTTTCCAGCACCAGGAAGAAAACCACACTGCTCCTCCTGCATCCAAGGTTCGACTATCGGTCGGATTGCCCTCTCAAGTACCCTGGCATAGACTTTCCCGAAGAGGCTGAGGAGTGTAATCCCCCTGTAGTTGGAACACACCCTCTGGTGTGCCGGAGTTTGTCCAACCAATCCACATATGCTTTGTGGATCTGGAGAAGGTGGTCCCTGTTTGACCAGAGCAAGAGCTGTGTTCGCATTGCTGGCAGTAAGTCAGACCTGTTCCCAGTGCATGTTGGACTCTCCCAGGGCTGCCCTTTGTGCCCGGTCCTATTGATTGTTTATATGGACAGGATTTCTAGACGCAGTCAGGGCTTGGAGGGTGGCTGGTTTGGGGACCACAGGATCAGGAGGTTGTCCTGATGGCATCATCATTCATATGCACTTGGGCGGTTTGCAGTCGAGTGTGAAGTGGCTGGGATGAAGATCAGCATGTCCCACTGGGAGGAGGCCCCAGGGAAAACCCAGGACACGCTGGAGGGACAATATCTCTAGGCTGGCCTGGGAACGCCTCGGAATCCCACCGGAAGAGCTGGAGAAAGTGTGCATGGAAAGAGAAGTCTAGGCCTTCCTGCTCAGAATGCTACCTCCCTGACCCAGCACCAGATAAAGCGGAAGAAAATGGATGGATGGACAGACTCTTCAACTGTCAACAGCGGCCACCAAGATTACTGTTGCAAGGCATCAAGTTCAGTAAATGCAGAGTGTGCGGGCATCGTGGACTAACATGGGTTGTATTTTTAGCATCTGTGGCTCGGCACTGGGCTTTACTGGGCGTGTTAGGGTGGCGTGCCACAATGAAATTACCTCAGTATATCACTATGGTTTATTTTGTGTCCCTTTTGTCAAACGTATTTTGTATTGTATGTTAAAAGTCACTTGGTGCATCTAGACTCCTGCTTTTCTGTGTACCTGGTCTGTTCTCTGGTCGTAGCCCTTGATGAAAGGACTCTCTCTCTAAAATCTTCCTCTTGTGGAAGTGCTACTCCAAGGCGCTATATTGACGTTTGCAATGGTCCTAAGGTAAACTCAGTAAACTGAGCCATGTGACCAAATGGACAACGGGCAATGGAAATACTGGACTGATCGAGGATTTGTTTGTTTTTTATTAACTCCCTGTTAAAATGGGTAATAAATTAAATGTGAAGTATATTTATGTCATAAATATACTTGTCATATTCAGTATCAGAGAACCAGTGTGCCTGTAATGTGTGGAGAAAGATAAATTTGAGCTGTATATATTTGACCTGTTTTTCCCTCTGACAGTGGAGCAGACAGCAGTGTGCACAGCCCCTCAGCTCTGGACCCAAACTCCACCCCAAATCTTGTGCTTAATAATATTTCATTTTATGAAGTCTGTGTAGCCAGATATATCTGACCTGTAAACACGACAATTTCTTTCTGTTCTCACCGTGGAATGTCCTTCAGACTGAAACTCCAGTGCTTGAAATTCTGTCACTAGAAGTTGTAAAAGTACAAACTACAAATTAGACAATTTAAATGAACATTTTATTGCTGAATTCATAGTGTTGCTGTTAATGGTGTGACAAGTTCTCATTATAATAATTTTTTAAAAGTAATAATTTCTTAAATATGATTGTTTTGGTGATTATAAGCATTTAACCCATGTGTTGGGTAGAATTAACTCAGCAGAGTAGTAAAATACAACCCAGAATTGAGTAGGAAAAACAACTCAAAAAGTTGGGTTAAAATATTAACCCAAACTGCTGGTCAAAATGACCCAGAGTTGTGTTGGTCCAATTGAGATGAGCACTGGATTATTATTTAACACCGGTTGGATTATTTTAACCAGCATTTTATAGCATGTAGCACAATGAAACACTATACAGTACAATAGTTAGTTTGACCTAGTTTATTTGTATCTATAATGAGTCATAGAAGTTATTTATCCATCTTCTTTACAGCGCAAATCTTATTGTATTACAGAAAAATAAGAAAAAGTTCCCCACAAGTACAAAGAAAAAATACCCATGAGAAATACAGATCCCCAGAAATGATCCATCCATTTAACATATTGAGCAGTATCTCAATATAGTAATATAATTTTACTACTTACACAAATTTTGACAAATTTAACTAAAACAGAGTTAACGTTATTTTTAAGATTTAGCTAAAAATATATATTTTTTTCCCAATTTGGCAAATTTTGTACGTTTTTACTTCCTGGTTGGAAAACAAGGACATTTGAGCTCAATATTCACTTTATTCCAGCAGTTTTGTGTTCTGTCATCATATTTTGTGTTAGTTTGTATTGTTTTGCATGAGGCTGCCACTCTTGACAGCAAATGATTTCAATAGGCCCTATACACGTTTGGAAACATATGAATGACGACTTCCGGTGTAGTTACTGACACTGGGCTCGCCTATGGACTCTGATAAAAGCCCATCGAAGTACGGGGGTGCTGTCTGGAATAATCTCAAAATTGGCATCCTCATCTCTTCTCTTTTGTATGTCGGTGGGAAAATTATTAAAATGGTTGTATGGTTGTAACTGTTCATCTACTGAACATAACAGAAAGCTACAGTGACATCTAGATGAAGAAAACTGGGCCATTTTGTCAGATTTCCTAGATTTTGTCAGAGTTACTTCCATTAACAGAGCCTGCCGGAAGTTCTCATCCGCATGTTTCTAAATGTCTCCTGTTTTTTTTTTAATTGAAGAGTAAATAGGGCCGATACGGACTAAAAAGCTGAAATGAATGGGATCCCTATTTAACTGTAAGTGCCACCAGAAGAAAGCACTGTTTTGGAGCATTTAGAGACAAAAGTGTGTGGGGTAGAATAAGGTCAAGATGGTGCTAGAGGCCTGCATAACATGTATCACAATCAAATCAATTGCAATTTCAGTTTACTGCATAGAAGAACATGCCCTGTGTGTTTTGAGAGAAAAATCTTGGTTTATCTGCAGTTTAGACCTCTACAAGCATTGCTGAAATACATGGAATATTTGTATAGGCCAAAAAGACAACAGCAGTTACCTCTTAAGGCTAAATCGTTGATTTAACAAACAGAAAGTTAGAAAATCAAGGAGTGTAACAGACATCCACATCTTTATAATAATAATAATAAGAGTAATAATAAAAAAGATGAGTTGACTAATACAAAATTTGGTCAGCCAAGACACCATCGACAGATTAAAACCAACTAAAGGCCAACAGCTCTAGCAAAGATTTTTCAATATCTTGCAGTCCTACACTGAAATATGTCAATGTGCAGTCTTACCCAGAGAATGTTTCAGCTTTGTAAATGTTGAGTGAATTCGCAGCCATGGGGTCATCGTCTCAGACTTCACTCCAGACACGGCTCCTGTCTCTGTGTGTAATGAACAAATGAGACTACACTAAAATAGTAACACACACGCTTTGGCTTGTATAACCCCCACGGAAGTCGTAAAATGTAACAAGTATGAACCTTGATCATAATAAGACTGGTCAGAAAGAAGGAGGTCCACGTCACCTAATAATGTTGTTTTGAGCATAGGCTCTATTTATGCTTACCAGAAGATGTCTGGAAACATGTGGATAATGAGTTCCTGTGTAGTTCCCGACACTGGGCATGTGAGAAAACCATGATCTATTACAATAACTGTGGCTAAAACCGTGGATTCAGCAGCAGCAGCGCTCTTCACTATAAGCTTTCCATGGGGGACATGTAATTGCAGCTTCGATGTCACTTACATGCAGGTTTTTTTGTTTGTTTTGTTTTGTTTAGTTTTTTTAAATGAGACAAATTATAATACACAAATTAATAGACAATTTATAAAAGGAAAAAAGAAAAAAACACAATGATGTCTAGATGAAGAAAGCGGAGCCATTTTCTCAGTTTTCCCAGATTTCGTCAGAGTTACTATCCCAACAGAGCCCAAAGGAACTCCTCATCTTAATTTTTTCAAATGTCTTCTGGTTAGTAAAAAATGTACTTGCATTTGTGGTTTTGTGATAGGGCAAGAGATAGTTTTCCTATTGATTACATTGTACTTTTCCATGGACTATCCAAAAGGTAAAGCCACAATTGTTGGATCTACTTTATTATTGATTAGACCCAAGAACTATGCATTTGTACAGCATTAACTTCAGGTGCCCTCATCTGTATTGGGTCCTATGCTCCATTCTAACGTGTTATAACAGGCTAATAACAAAACTACTACACATGTAACTTTTTAACGTTTCGCTGTGTGCCACTTTAATGCCCTACTGTGGAACATTCTAATGCAGCATTATCCCCAGAAAAGCCAGTAAAGTTACTTATCGGTAGTATCTTTAACCCAGACTAAAACACAGCTGAAGATTTTTAACATTCTCACTGAGAAAAAATAAAAATAAAAATGAGGCACCAGAAAACTGGGAAGTTAGATACACTACTATCACATCTTGTGACAAAGAGGGCCTTTGTCCCCATTTAATTTAATTTTACATCTATATCAATATTCTACTTAACAGCTAAATATTACTATACTGGGTTTGTTTTATTTAGTCTTTGTTTAATTAAGTTAATCACTACACACCAATTACTTTAAATACATTTATTTGGTTATACCTATTCATTTTGTTACCATACAACTTACCAGCTCACCTGTTACTCCACATGGTCTGGAGACAAAAGAGGGGGTGTGACCTTGGTCAGCAATTTTTGTAGTCTCTGGGAGAGGATTTGGGCCAGAGGGAAGTTTTATGGATTTTGTTTGTTTCATTTTCATATTTCAGTGTTTCTAGTTTACTTTGAGCACTATTATTTAAAGGGGACTTAGGCCCTTGTAAGAAAGTATGTAGCACATTTTAGAAACAGGTAAAGTTGCTAGAAGAGCTAACCTGTGTTTGTTGCACTGACCTAGAGGGAGGTACTTCCTTTCTGGGGAACTATAAATTTGAGGCAATTCTGCCTGTCTGGGGTTCACCACCAGTGTAGCCATATACATGTGGGTTTTTCATTTGTTTTTTTGTAAATATGTAATTTTTCTTTTTTCCCACAAATCCACAGTGCAAGTAAGAATAAATATTTTTTGGTGAAAATTGACATTTTTTGCATCTGCAACCTACCTACTTTTAACCACTTTGGCCAGCTTCCCCACACTTCTGCAGCATATTCCTGTATTCCTGCATAATGCAATTATCAATGTAGACATGTATTTAAAGTATAGTATTCAATAGGCTGAAGAAGTTTGAATATATTGCATTATTTTAAATGGAGCTGCCAATCTTGACAGTAAATAAGTTCTATCTGGACTACAAACCTGCGGCTAATAATAATAAAAAATAACAACTTCCATTTATATAGTGCTTTTCAAGACACCCAAAGCACTTTACAGTAACACACATGAGTGTGATTAGGTGAGATTAAAATCCAGATGAAACAGAAATGTTTTTAGAAGTGCTTGGAATTGATCAGTGGTTTCAGAGGAGCGTGTTCCAGAGTACAGGGGCCTGGACGCAGAAGGCTGTTTCCCCTGGTCTGCAACCTGGAGTGGGGAACGGTGATCTGAGGAGGAGGAGTGGCGTATCCTTCCTGGGGGGTGTGTAGGTTTGGAGCAGGTCTAAGAGGAACTGAGGGGCGTGGGCATGGAGGGACTTGTAGGTGAGAAGAGGAGTCTTGTACTGGATCGGGTATTTTATGGGAAACCAATGCAGGTGGGCGAGAGTGTTGCCAGGGTTTGGTGTGAGTGAGGACCCTGGCAGCAGAGTTTTGGAAGCCTGTCCAGAAGATTTTGGGAAATCCCAGACAGGACTCTATTGCAATAGTCCAGACGAGAGGATAAGTGTTTGAGCAACCGAGTCCGGGGGAGCTCGACGGACGTGGGAGATGTTGTAGAGGTGGTGAAGGGCAGATTTTGTGATTGATTGGATGTGGAGTTCAAAGGAGAGGGTTGGAGTCCAGGATGATGCCCAGGTTGCGGACTGTTGGGGAGGGGTGGATGTCATTGCCACTGATGATGAGCACCAGATCTCCAACCTTCTGGAGCAGTGGTCTGGTGGCCACAACCATGAGCTTTGTTTTGTTGCTGTTGAATTTGAAGAAGTTGGCCAATAACCTTATGAGTGGAAGTTGAGTCCGTATTTACTTATGATTCGTCCGAGGGAGAGCGTGTAAGTAATAAACAACAGTGGATGGAACACAGAACCTTGTGGTACACTTTGGTCGATGAGAGCAGGAGGAGAGCGGGAGTCATTGAGGGAAATGAACAGTTGGTGGGAAAGGTATGAGTGAAACCAGGACAAGGCTTTAAAGCCTCCCAGAGAATTGGTGCAATGGTGACTTGTCAGTGCATATGAAGATTGAATTTTTTCACAATTCCACCTATTTTATATCATATTTTAGCAGGAAATCTTTTTCTAAAATTCTCCATTGGTATGAGTGGGATTCCCACTTCAAGTGTCTATGAGAGGTTAGACTGCTCATTTTACTAAAACAGTTAACATCATCATATTTAAGATTTTGCTAGAAACTGTAAAAAAAAAAAAAATCCAATTTGGCAGGTTTTTATTTCCTGGTTGGAATCATGACATCACACTATGGAATTCCATAACTCTCATACATAAGCATTTACTGCAAAGGAACTTAATGATGGTGTGTGAATGGTAAAACAATTGTTTTGATACAAGTCACAGCTGCCAACATTTAGATATGAGAGGGGGAGGAGTTTATACTTCACCCTTACTCCTCTTAGAGCATAACTGTACTACAGTAGAATATGTACAATATGATTTCATGATGATATTCAGTATTTCTCAAATAAATGAACAGAAGTGAAACAAACAAACAAACAAACAAAAAAAACAGTTACCTAGAAACCATCTTATACACTGGGCCAAAAATTAAATAATATGCATACAATAAAATATAAGCATGGATTTGAAAATGTATTTGTATTTATTAGGCATGAGTCATTTCATTACATGTTTGTAGAGGTCTACAGTACAGAGTAAACAGGTTTTAGACATAGTCAGACATAAAATATTCTCTGAATGACAGTTTAATACCTGAATGACCACACATAATGGGATCTAGTGCAGTGGATGTCAATCAAAATCCTTAACTAACAAATCCAGAATGACACGTGTGAAACAAAGAAGCTCATTAGTCACCCATAATTTACAAACAAAATGATACATATATTTTTTTACCTCAGGTTAACAGTTTAGTTTTTACTGTTTAAACATAATGTAACCACAAAAAAGTGACTTAGCTGGAACTAGAACAGGTGAGATTATTTGTGCTGTTAAACAAGTTCCTATCAAATAACATTACAGTCACAAGTGAACTAGTCACTCTCACATTTTTGTTGTCCAACTCCTAAACAGGACCACTGAAAGTGTTGATCACAGGGTCCTGAAAAAGTGTTGTTTAAATCCATTTTGTATTGTTCTTGAGTTTTCAGATGATCTTAAAACTTATTTGACAGTGTCGTGTAAGGATACGTTGAGATAAGGCCAGTAGGTGACAAATGTGTTTTTAAAGTAACCTCTGCTAACATGTTACAAGTACCCCAAAACAAAAACAGCTAAGGCTTAACCCAAACCAGAGCCATTTTCCACACCTTCACATAATCCTGTTCCTAAACATTCTACTATTAACCTTGTGTAGTATGTAAATAGTGTCACCATGGTAACTGCTGTAACATAAACTTACATACATCTATGGGGTACATTTGTCTGTGTAGGGTTCTTTATGGGAATAGAGTCAGGTGCCCTTTTTAATGCCCTACCCTCTGTCTCCTCTGAGGTGAGTTTCCATGAACTGGTGCACCTTTCTCCATGCGTCCTCCTGGGCCACAGCGTGAGGGGATGGTTGTCCGCCCCAAGGAATAAACACTAAAAAACATAATCAAGTCATTTACTTAAGCATGTTTTTTTAAGAGGTGCACTGTGAAACTCTTTGGTGGAGATGCCTGTCACAATAATCAACTTAGGCTAATTTTTTCATAAACAGATCCATGCGTTCCACGTAACCGTTACTGCAATTATACTTCCAAACGTTTCTAAAGTCAAAGCTACATTCTCTTACACAACCAGAAGAGGGGGCACAAAGTCAGTTACTGAACTGACAGTCTATGACATTCTTTATACGATCTATGACCAAAACGGATGAAATAGACCAACAAATAAACAAACATGAAGGCACAAACAGCAGTTTTAGATTACATTTGTTGGAAAAGAGTCAAGAAAAATTAGGTGACGGAAGCATTTTTAGCAGTTTGTACTAGTCATGTTTTTAAAAGTTTAGCTTCCACTATGGAGCTGTGTTTTACTGTCCCCAGTGGTCAGCTCAAGTACAGCTCCATGGCAAAGATTACACAAGTTCTGAGGAGACGGACCAAGTGACGGACAGAGCTTAAATGAACCTTTATCGTTCAATACACGACAGATGGAACAATTATTTTTAGGGGTCAGTGTGTATCATGGGTGCTTTTTCTTTGTGCTAGTGGGAAGGTTGTTGTTTGATTAAACCTTTAGCGCTTAAATACCCCATCTGTCATCTCGTATATGCGTGTGTGTGTGCGGGCAGGGGAAGGGGAGGGGTCGATTTCTGAATAATATTCGAATAGCTGTCACTGATTTTCGAATAGTGTTTTTGCCAAATATTCACATCCCAACTCAGCACCACGCACTCTTACTGCCACATGATTGGCTGCAGACATTTTCAAACTAACTACTGTGTTACTGTGAAAGTGTTTCATTGTGCTATTTATTTACTAAACCAGGACTAGAACAGGACCAAATGAAGTCCACATCAGACTCAGGACTAAACTGGGAGCACAAACATGTGTAACATGCCTCTTAACATGCCGTGGCAGTATTTAACAATAGTTGGCAGCACACAATAAATTTGTAACTATTTTAGACACAGAGTTGCTAATTAAAATGCAACTAAAGACCATGAACATGGTTTAGTTGCAAAAAGTGAATTTAGTTGAATCCCACGTTAAACATTTGAATTCAGTGTGGAAAACTGAATGTGGATTTCTTTTTCAGAGTCAGTAGTGCTTTTTCAGTGTAGTGTGGTACTGGCACCAGTGGAGACAGACTCACGTTTCTTTGGTTTGACGCTCCACAGACCCATTCGGGTGTTGGGGGTAAATGGAGGCTCGACGAGGTGCCCAGCTCCAGGATACGACAGGCGGGTGAACAGGTGCCCCTTACCATAGGCATTTAGGGTCTGCTCCAACTGAACAAGAGGAACAAGTGTTAGACTAATCAGGCAACACATGAAAACCACCTTTCATTCACTGCTCCTTAAAGAAAAGGCGTTCTACTTCTTCAATTCAATTCAATCTTTTATTGAAAAAAAAAAAAAAAAAAAAAGCTATATTTGCCAAAAAATAACATGTGGTCTTCCGGTATAAAGGACAGGGTGTAAGGATCATTATATTTTTTATTTTGTGTTAATAGGACCAATATTTCGGCGGGGCAGACGACACCGCACACACACAGGCAGATGCACACACAGAGACAGAGGGAGAGAGACACTGGACTTTTACTCAAACTGTGCAAATTTAAGTCAAAACTTGTCAACAAATGAGGAGACATAAATAGACATGCTGTGACTCAGGTTGCTTTTTCCTAATCAAGAGAGCATAAATCCTACTCAGCACTAGGGATGAGACATGATTTTCGAATAGTCGAATATTCGTCATACGTTCAAATATCGAATAGTAATTTCGAATAAAGACGTTTCCTAACCAATATTTCATGTACGGCATTCGGCCAGAAGGTGGCGCTAACAGACTGTAAAAATCCCTGTAGGCGCGGTAGACTAGGCCGAGTGTAGAGGCTGCTCCGGAATAACAGAAGAAGAAAACTTATCGGGCGGCAGAAGCAAGTAAAAGTTCCGTATGGTCGTCATTTACTTTGTTAAATGACAAAGAGGTTCAGTGTAAAATCTGTCAGGTGAAGCTAGCAAACCATAGATCAACCACTACCATGCAGAGCCATCTGAGAGCGAAACACGCCGAAACACGGGAACATGCGCAAATGAACTCAGTACTGCCAGGAGATATGCCCCTTGCTCCACACTGACCCGATGACATGGTGGAAAACAAACAAACAGAAATACCCCCGACTGGCAAAGTTAGCGAGCGCTTACTTGGGTGTGTCCGTGCCATCGGAGCGAGTCTCTGCAGCGGGCAGCTCAATGAAAGTAGCGCAGTGGGCTACAGTATGTGCTTGGTCACGCGTTTTTAAAACTGAGATAGCCTTGAATATAATTTCATATTGTTTCATGTGGGTTGCTCAATTAAGATGTTCATTTTTGATTTGGAAGGTTGTTGTTTGATTAAACCTTTAGCGCTTAAATACCCCATCTGTCATCTCGTATATGCGTGTGTGTGTGCGGGCGGGGGAAGGGGAGGGGTCGATTTTCGAATAATATTCGAATAGCTGTCATTGATTTTCGAATAGTGTTTTTGCCAAATATTCACATCCCAACTCAGCACCACGCACTCTTACTGCCACATGATTGGCTGCAGATCTGTCATGGACACTCCTAATCATCAAGATTAACTAAAGGAAAGAGTTCGCGCTCTATTGATCTTTCGATGTTTGGCACAGCCCTGCTTGTGACGTGTGCACTCAGTCACCTGAGGAGACAGACCCACTGACTGAGACTGAGGCAGGCTCACCTGCGCAGACAGAAGCAAATGCTCTTTTACCTGACTAATGGCAGGGTGAAAACCACCTCAAACTTATACAACATTTCAGTGTTTGTAAACAGCACAGCAAGTACTATATCCACAAGGCAAGAACAATATATTTTGCGTCTCAGTATTTAACACAATAGTGGGGAGGTTTTTATGTATTAATGCAAGATTTAATGCAAGATGTACATGATTGAAGAAATTATATGGCTAATTTTAAGTTAATTCTGCTACTGAATAGCTGTAACCCATGATACCATATATATATAAAAAAAAAAAAAACAGAACAGAACTCCTGAATTCTAATGCCTGGTATGCTTCCACATGGTAATCCCAATATATGTCTTAGCATTAGCCTACAAACATCACAAACTATGAAAAATCAGGGCTGTGACTAACAATGTTTAAACTGTCTAAAACATTGCTTCCTTGCATGATATCCCTGCATTTTGGATGGAATTTTCTATGTTGATGACATTCTGTTTTAGGACTTACTGCTACTTCCTCACTAATGAAAAACTATAATACAAGGGTAAACTATGGCACTATTCCACTAAACCAAGTAATAATTGCAAAAACGTGAAAACCATAGGCACTTGAACATAATGAATGGTGCAGCGGATTTTAGCCCTTACCAGATCAGCGTTCTCTGCAGGATACGCGCACAAGTCATCCCCACTGGCAATGTACAAGACCGGACAAGGAATCTTCTCCATCTCAAAAAATAAAAACAAAACAAGAATCAGTAAAATGATAAAGCAGACTGACAAACACAGAATGAAGTAATATAATATTACCTTGACTATGTGTGCTGGTGGTATGTTCGCCGGGAGCGAGACATCCTTGAAAGTGACATGGCCATCATCGTTGAAAGTCCAGGGTTTTTGGCGACTAAAACACAAATACAAAGGGCTCGGTAAATCAAATATGAGTGAATTGTCTTGCTAAAAAGAGGTAAACAGTTTCACATTAACTTTGAATATTAGCCTTTTTTGACACACCAGCAGCACCAGCAACTTATAGCAGCAATATGTAACTTTTTGGTGGGGACCTGTACCCACTTGTCTCTATGGAGGTGTCATTGTCATTCCTTTGTCAGGAATGTGAGGCATTAAACATTTCTAATGATCACTTATCCAATTACACATGTTTTTATAGTTCAAAAATAACTTAACTACAGTTTAACGACAAAATGAGACAAAAAGACAACCAGGTGGTAAACCTTCCACACAGCAAAAACCCAACCACCACAGTTCTACTGGTAATTGTATATAAAGTACGGATTGAAATCTTCATCTCTCCCTTCATCATCAGTGAGTGGAACGGTGCTGCCCACTGGTCCGTTTATGCAAATCAAACAGGATGGCTGCAGAAAAAATACAAAATAAATATGAGTCTTAAAGGTGCTGGACTTGAGATCCCATGATTTTGAGCAGAATTAGTTTATCCCCCAGTACAGATATATTGTACAAACAGCTCTTTAAAAACAAAATAAGTTCACTGTGTACTGTCTACTGTCTACACACAGCAAAGGATCAAAATAGGACCAAATTAAGTCTAGATCTGGACTGAACTAGACTCAAACCTGGACTAAAGAGAATACATTTGTGGCGTACCTTGACTTCAGGTAAAGTGGCTGTTCTCAGAGTCAGGTAACCTCCATAAGAGACGCCCACGATCCCCACTCTGTCCCGACAAATCTGATCATGGTCCTGGAGGAACTTAAATGCTGTCTGTAAAACAATTTTTATTATGAAATACCACACTGCTCAAGTATATTAAATTAAATCATGCTTTCACAACAGAAAAATAGGTAAAACTTTATAACACTTCCTTATATCCACCAGCATTCTGACCAGAACTGAAGAAGCAGCTTGGATGAGCTGCGAAACGTCTTCAACCAAACTAACTTTTGTCCAGTTGACAAACTGAATTTTCTCCTCACCATGGATTCTACCTGGACGACTGACGGATTCTTCACACATACTGTGGAATATTATAGCCAAAGGAACAACATTTCCATGGAAACAACAAAAGGATGTCTTCCAGGCAAAAAGTTTGTGGCAATTTTAAAGTGTTTTTTTGTTTTGTTATTTTTTTGGGAAAAGTTACACAGTGGGGGTTTGAAAATGTAGATAAATATTTTATATGAAACAAATACATGCATCACAAATACAAATACATGCATCATGATTTCCGGTCATTGTGCAATCCATACTGGGAAGGATTTTCTAAAAAAGTGAGCATCAAACCTCCATGTTTGTTTTCCCAGTGGGATGCGTTTATTGACAAAGCCAGTCTTTTCTAGTCTTTGGAACCATATCACTTTTGTTTCTGGTTCTGATATTGTCATATTTTAGTTTTGGGATTCGGACATCGTAATTGTTTGGTTATTGGATGTCCTAACAGTCGAAAACAACTCAAGAAATTTATTTGTGAACTTCATAAGTGCAAAAGGAAATCAGATCTGTGTGACTGCAAACCTCCGTTCAAACTGTTTCCCTTCCCAATGGATTTGAAAAATAGTGAAAGATGAAGGAGATGGGCAGTATTGATACACAGGAAAGATGAAAAATATAACCTTTGGCTGCCTAAGAAATCATCCCGAGTTTGCAGCAAACATTTTGTATGTGGAGCGCCATCAAAGCAAAATCCCCATCCCTCGCTGAGTTGGTTACGAATTTAAAAAGTCAATGCCAAATCGAAAGACAGTAGCTGTTCGCCAAGAAACACCTTCCACTGCAAAGCGACCAGGATGTGAAAGTGCGAGTTCAGTCTGTTTGTCTTCTGTACCTCTCGCTTAACAAACGGGATGCCGCTTTGATGGCGCTCCACATACAAAATGTTTGCTTGGAAACTCGGGATGATTTAGGCAGTGAAACGTTTCCTTTTTAGTCTTTCCTGTGTATCAGTACTGGCCGTCGCCTTCGCCTTGCACTGTTTTTCAATTCCGTTGGGAGGGGAAACAGTTTGAATGGAGGTTTGCAGTCACACAGATCTGATTCCCTTTTGCAGTTATGAAATTTGCAAACAAATTTCTCGAGCCATTTTCCGCTGTTAGGACATCCAACAACCACACAATTACAATGTCCGAATCCCAAAACTAAAATATGCCGATATCAGTACCAGAAACGAAAGCGATATGGTTCAAAAGACTAGAAAACACTGGCTTCGTCAATAGATGCATCTCACTGGGAAAACAAACATGGCAGTTTGATGCTCACTTTTTTGGAAAATCCTTCCCAGTATGTATTGCACAATGACCGGAAGTCTGAAATTCGTGATGCATCTATTCATGTCAATTTAAAATGGCTGTAAAAACTGGATGGACTTCTGTCTCACCTTGAAGTATGTGTTCCCAACATTGATTGTATTTAGCGGCCCAGGCAGATCCTTGTGCCCAAGGTAGGCCAGGGAGAAGCTAGCATAGCCTCTGGATGCTAACAAAGCCGAGCGGTACTCCACCAAACCTCCACCCATCCCCCAAAGATCTAAAATGGCCGGGAATGGACCAGGACCTGCAAAAATGCATACAGTGATTTATCATTTAATAAAAAGTAATATTAATTTTTGGCATATTGCATACAGCTGAAGTAGTTGTAGTAGTAAAAATATTCCATTATACGTACTTGTTAAAAATTCACTAAACACAAAATAAACTAAACTGTGTATATGGTGTTTTAACAGCATTTTTACTGTTCCTAGCCATTCCTAGCAATTTAGTGTAACCTGGATATAAACTCGCAGCTTTCTGGTCAAAATTAAACATATAAACTGAAGTGTGCACTGTGTGAGTTTTCTTGGGGAGGGTACACTACATGCTATTCTCCATGTAGATATACTAACTGTTCAGCCTGGAATGTTTCATAGCACGGCATAAGGCATGGCGCACTTCGATGGACATGCGGATCTGTTCACACAAGAAAACATGCTATTAAAGGTATTTCTGTGACAGAATGCACCTCTTTAAATGTGTGCTGCCTCCAGAAACACCTGGCTTCAGGGTTGGAGTGTGGATAAGTGTTAGCAGTATTGGGCAGTAACTAATTTAGTTACAAAGTAGGGGAATACTGTAATCTCATAGATTTTTAGGAATGTGGCCATGTTATAGTTTAAAATTTAGTATTTAGATTACAGTTACTTGGCCCAGTAACTTTTAGTTATCTTTTCCCTGCTAAAAATGTGTGTAATTCAGAGAAGTGTGTTGTAAAACAGATGAACAGGAGCATGGGATGTCCACTTCTGATGTCAGAGGCAGATCAGCCCCAACAGATTAGTGTGAAGAATTCATGCTTTTTGTAAATAGTTTTTTGAACTGTATGTTTCAAAGTTACTTATTTTGATTAGTAATCAAATAGACTATTCAGGCTTATGTATGCAATCTTCATTTTACTGCTGATGACATTTACTTCAGTGGGTTTTATCACAGTCGTTAGGCAAGCCCAGTGTCAGTAACTACACTGAAAGTTGTAATCGCATCTTTCCACAAGTCTTCCTGGTTTGTGACGTAAGCGTGAATAGAGCCTATTACTTTTGAAATAAAGTAATTAGATTAGTACAAAAAAGAGAAAACAGTGACTGCATCACTGGATCAAATAAATATTAGGCAGGTGCTCTTCAATGATCCAGGATAGATTAAAAAGAAATAGAAGGAGATCTTCTTAGGGACTTCCCTTTATGTCTGCCCCCTTGCATTCCTAAATAAAGAACTTTTATCATAAATCAGAGTGCCTATGATCTCCTTCTATTTCTTTCTAATCAGTAGTTTTTATGTGATTATTCTTGGCATGAGTAGTCCATAGTCAGTAACCAGACCTTCCCCCTGGTTACTTTGAATCTGTGTAAAAATAGGACTTGTGTCTGATCACCTGGGGGTAGGAATAAGGTCCCTACAAGTCCATTTTGTCGGATCTCGATCCTCTTAACCCCTGGAGCCATGTACCAGCGCTCAGTGGAGATGGAGGCCAGCTCTGTGTGCTCTGCTCCCCGGTGACCTAGAGAAACGTGGCCCTCCAAAACAGACACTTTAAACACATAGGGAGTGTGCATGTTCCTCTTTCTCAACCTGTGGACAAACCATAGATTGTATAAGTGAAGTGGAAAAAGTGAGTGTGACGTCATAGCCCACAGCATTTGACTGCAACCAAATAAAGTTTATTGAGGCTGGCAGTTACAGTGGCAACCAGGGCTCGCAGAAAGCACTTTGTGCCCATGCTCACATCCTGTTTGTCAGTTAATACAGTCTAAGAGGCAAAAAGAAGAACACCACCACTATTAAAGGTGCACTGTGTAACAATTCTAACTCTGAGTGAAGTTCCCTCTCCGGAGATCTGACCTGTAATTTACCCTGATGGCAGTACCTGCTTGTCCCTAACTTTAATACTGTGGAACATTCTAGTCAAAGTTAAAATATCTCCATGAAGGTAAGAAGGCGATGTATGTTCAGTGCATATTTACAAGAAAATTATATTTTTTGAAGATAATATTCAAATCATATTTTTGCAATCTTTCAGAAATATCTTTTTTTTTATTTTTTTTTTTATGTATGACCAAAATGTGCCTGGTATTTAGCACAAAACATGACAATTGGGTTTAGAGCTAGTAGTTAAAGCATATACTAATATAGTAGTTTCCTCTGGTTCATTATTGATGCTCTTGTTGACTCCAGTATCCATGGTTACAGCAGGTTAATGCTGTAGCCATGGGTTTTCTTCACCTGCCTTAGTCCCTCTCTCTCTCCTGGAGCCGGCGCCAGACTCCAGAACAGCCCCATCGGTTCACAGCCAACGAACGAGCCCCCTACTGAAGAATGTGTGCACACTAAAGAGAAAGAGACAGAGAAGAAGGAAGTCAAACATATCTGATCACATCAGAGTCAAAGTCGCCACATAAAAAATGTAAAATTATATATAAGGTATATTGAAATGGAAATTACAGAGACATTTACAGACATAATCAGGGTTTCCATGTGAAGAATGATGGAATCTGCCATGGTCAAACCTCTGCTTAAAAAGGACAACTTGGACCACTCCCTGCTCAGTAACTACAGACCTGTGTCCAATCTGCCGTTTTTAAGCTAAATTTTAGAGAAAATAGTTTTTAACCAAATTAATGATTTTATGATTGCCAACAATATCTTTGAAATGTATCAATCTGGTTTTAGAGTTCACCACAGCACAGAGACTGCACTAGTAAAAATCCTAGATGATATAAGATCCAACATGGACAAGAAGAACTTGTAGACCACTGTATTTTACTAGATAGATTACATTATGCAGTCGGTCTCTCTGGGTCTGTTTTTAACTGGTTCAAATCTTTTTTAACAAACAGGGATTTTTATGTTAGTCTTGGGGAACACTCCTCTGCAAAATGTAAAATGGAGTGCGGTGTTCCTCAAGGCTCAATTTTAGGTCCAACCCTTTTTAATCTTTACATGCTGCCACTAGGACAGGTCATCAGGAGACACAGTGTTAACTTTCATAGCTACGCTGATGATACCCAGCTCTATATAGCCGTGTCTCCTGGTGGCCTGAGCCCGATCGATACCCTTTTTAACTGCATTTTAGATATTAAGTCCTGGATGGCAGCAAACTTCCTCCAGCTCAACCAGGGCAAAACTGAGGTTTTGGTAATTGGTCCTGAAGCTCAGAGAGAGAGGCTCAAAGGTAGGCTCCAAACCTACTCACTCAACCCCCGTGAGAGGGTCAAGAGTTTAGGAGTTACTCTTGATAGTGAGCTTAGCTTTGAGCCACACATCAGGTCCATCACTAAATCTGGTTTTTATCATCTAAAAAATATTGCCAGAGTCAGACCATTTCTCTCTCAAGCCAGTGCAGAGATTTTAATACATGCTTTTATCACAAACCGTGTTGATTACTGCAATGCTCCCCTTTCTGGTCTTCCAAAGAAATCTACAGCTCCATTGCAGCTCCTTCAAAACTCTGCAGCACAACTGCTGACAAGGACCAGGAAGAGAGAGCACATCGCCCCAGTACTGAAGTCTCTGCACTGGCTTCCTGTGAGCTTCAGGATAGATTTTAAAGTTCTTTTATTAGTTTATAAAGCTCTTAATGGTCTTAGTCCTATTTATTTATCTGATCTGCTTTGATCATATGAACCTTCTCGGACTCTCAGATCCTCAGGTAGTCTTCTTTTAACTGTCCCAAGAGTCCAAACTAAAACTCATGGTGAGGCGTCATTCAGCTTTTACGGCCCCCGTCTGTGGAACAGTCGACCTGAGGATCTGAGGTCCGCTGCGAGTGTTCATATTTTTAAAAGTAAACTCAAAACGTATCTTTTCAATTTAGCTTTTAATTGAAACTTTTATCTGTTTTAACTTAATAATAATAATAATTTATTATTATTATTATTATTATTATTATTATTATTATTATTATTATTATATTTATTCTAAATTAAATTATCATTACTGTTTTAATTTGTCTCCATTTGATTTTAGCTCTCCATTTTGATTTTTATTATAACCTTTAGGAGCTTTATGTTTTTGTTTTTATGTTTAAATTGTTGTATATATGGATGAAACAATGGGGTGGGGTGGGGGGTTGCTCTTGTTTTTAATTATTGTGTTGTAATTTTTCTGTTGCATGTGAAGTACTTATACAAATAAAGTTTGATTGATTGATTAATTGAATCTGAAGTCATGAAGGATGAGCCTGTTTAAACACAATCAGGGGTGTTTTTTTCAGACCAAGTGCCCAAATTAGCATCAATTTTGACAATAGTGGAGGTTTTATACTGTTTTTCCCAAACTGTAAACATTCACTGACATAGTTAACTTGCTAACCGCAGCATTCCAAATAGGAAGGGAGCATGGGCGCAAAGTGGTTCCTTTGAATCCTGGTTGTAATGGACTTCTATGGAAAAAATGTCACTCCTGACACACTCTCTGCTGTTGGGCTTCTTATTCCGGTCTTAAAATGTTAAAATCTTTGAACCCACTGTACATGGTAAATCAATGTACGGTGTTTATCAGTGCATCATTTTATTAAAGGTTGTATAGAGAATTTTCCAAGAAAAGTGAAATACTGCGACTGTTTGTTTGGTCATCATGATTACAAGGCTGCTGCATCTTAATAATGATACTTTGAACTTTCATTGACAATTTGAAAAAATCCACCATTCAACCTTTAAAGGCGCACTGTTTAACTTTTCTGGTGGAGAATTCACCACCTGCTTGTCTCTGTTTGTTGATGCTTTGAATGGCTGGAATGTTCCACAGTATGGCATTATATTAAACGTACCTATCTTCACTGAGACCTGAATTTCTCTATTGAATTAAATACAATATTTGAACTCACAGTCGACAGTTCCCTCTGAGTCTGTGTTGTAGTGTGCGTAGGACTGCCACAGGTCTCCATCCTCACAGAACATCTGAGTGGACAAAGTGACCGGAGCCAGAGGAGGCAGGAAACGGGCTCTAATCCACATCTTTTCATCAATGAGCGCCCTGCAGGGGTCAGCAGAGAGCAGAGGGCCAGGTCTGAGGCTGCTGCCCTGACGAACATTCGCCAAAACACCTGAAGAAAAACAGATATAACTAGTCACGTTCATGACCGAGATGAACTGGATCTCAATTTTTAAAACAATATTCTTTTTTTTTTTTTTTTAAGCACTGATTTACAATGATCCAACACAAATCTGAACAGAAGAAGGCAACACATGAGGGAGCTTTTTGCACAATAACATTTGGCATCATCATAACTGTACCGCAGTTGTCTGACAGATCCACAATGATACCTCTGTATTTATTTATACAGATGGACATCAGTGTGGTCCCCCGCGCACAGTCACATCCAGAACCAAATGTGATCATAGGCCTCTCATGATAACAAACTTTGAGGTAGAAAACATACATAATTATCCCACCGGCACAATAACCCTCAAGTAGAATTATCCACAAAATACTATTCTAAAGCCATTTTCACACACCACCACCTGTCTGGTGGTGTGGAGAAATTATAGACTATATACAGAGTATCCTCCTGACCGAGAAGTGACAGATCACGACACAATGCACATTGTTTAGTACGTTTATAGAAACAAAACTTAAAGACACACAAACGGACTAAAGGACAGGATTTGGTGAAATATTTTTAGGACAGAGGAAAGAGCGAAGGCTGCAGCTGATGGTGTCTGGAGGACATATTTATTCTCTTCCGTGCATGGGTACATATGGAGATGTTGGATCTGTTCACAGATCGTACTGTCTGTGGGGTTTATTGCAGATCTATCTTATTCAGCAGAAACATGTTCTCCCGTGTGCAAACACTCAGGTTATTTATGTATAAAATGGTGAAATTTGCCTTCAAACTAGAGCAGTAGAGGAGACTGAGGAGAATTATTATGATAGTCCATTTTGTGAGTGTTGGAGTTTTTTATTAAACAGCTGTAGGTTTATGTGGCGTCTCCGTTATTCCCACCGCTGGTTGGTCGGATTCTCCAAACGCAGCTGAAGCTCCTTCTTCTATCTGCATAATGCTCTTATGGTTGACCCTGTAAAGTAGCTCAAAAGGTGTTGGGATCGAAGAACTAGGCGCTAGAAACTATGATTTCACGTATTCGGAATTAGCCCTGTTTAATATCTGGAGAGGACACGGTTGGTGCACGTATTCACACAAGAAAGTCTGGAAAAGAGCCGCATGGCACTGCATGTGTGAAAATTGCTTAAATGTACAATATGGTAAAAAAATTTAAATCAATTAAAAAATCTATAAATAAATACTACCTGAAAAATAGTGGATTCTATTTTCTACCCAATTCCTGGGTTAGGGCTGTTGGGACATTTTGCTTAACCCAAATACTGGGTCAACAGGCAAATACAAGATAATGATAGATATTTTCCTGCCTTTTTATGGTCTACCAAACATTGTGGCACAAATGGTTCAAACACAGACTGTCAACAGCAGCCATTATGAATAGGAATTTTTTAATGGCCATATATCAGAAAAAAACACCAGGATCATGTAGAGCGGGTCATTATGAACATTTGAAGATCAAAATGACAAGGCTCACGGCCGCAGTTACGGAGAGAGGCCACAATATTCCAATGTAAGTCAATGGGAGCTGTGGTCAGTAGGAGCCAGAAGAATCCTCATGTGAATGTCCTTTTTGGAACACGGCAGCTAGCACGTTGACTATGTCCATATACTATCATATACTACAGTCTATGGTTCTTCCCTTTAAGACAGTGGAGCAGACTACAGTGTCCACAGCCCTGAGCTCTGAACTCAAACTCAAACATAAATCTTGTGTTTAACCAAGTGTTATGAAATGGACAATTTAAATTAATGTTTTACTGCTGAATTCATAATGTGTTCCTGTTAATGGTGTGACATGTTTTGATTGTAATTATTTATTAAAATTATGTTTGAACATTTTTTAATAATTATTTCTTAAATATGATTGTGGTGGTTAATATTAACCCCTGTGTTAGATAGAATTAACTGAGCAGAGTAGTAAAATACAACCCAGAATTAAGTAGAAAAAAACAAACTGTTGGTACAGAGTGACCCAGTGACGGGTTATTATTTTACACAGGTTGGGTTATTTGTAACCAGTATTTTTTAGTGTGTGGCAGAATGAAACACCTAGACCTAGTTCATTTGTATCTATAATGAGTCTTGGGGTGCTCTCAAACTAGGACTTTAAAACCATGCTGTGCTCAAACACGATTGCGTAGGGTTCTGTGTTCCGCACTCAAACCTGCACAAATGAACTGGGCCACGGCTGATGATGTCGTCACACGGTGCTGTGTGTAGTGGAGAATATAAGTCCAGTGTCATGAAATATCTATTAAATAATGAGGCAGAGGTGCGTCCTCTTATAACACGCGCTCCTCTGTGAGTTTATGAATATAAAAACAGCACAGAGCAGCGATTACAGCCGGAGACGAGGGGCAGCTAAACTTCTGTCAGTCATTATTGAAGGTAAGCATGGATTCGCTGTATGTTTCAAAGTGGACTTTATTCACTGTTTGCCTCATCAGCGCACCTGACGGCTTGTGTAGCGAAGTCATGCGTCCGCATGTACATGAGCACCCGTGCTGTGCTTTGGCCCACAGTTTGATTGCGCTCACACCAGACAAATGTACCACGCTTTAGGCACTGTCTAAAGTCCTAGTGTGAATGCATTAATAAAAGTTATTTAGTCATCCTTCTACTGTGCACAATTTATCGTAGAAGAGACAAATAAGAAAAAGTTTCTCACTAGTACAGGGAAAAAATACCTACGTTAAATATAGACCCCCAAAAATGATTGATCCATCTGACATATATTGAATAATGTCAATATAGTAATTATCGTGTCAGGCCACTCATTTTACTAAAACACAGTTAATATTCTAAAAAAAAACCCAACTTTTTCCCATTTTAAAGCGTTTTAGGTTTTTACTTCCTGGTTGAAAGTAAAAGCCTGAAAAAAAACAAACAAACAAAAAAACTCATTTTAAGGTGATTCCTTTGCAGAGATGAAGGTTGTGTATTTTTAAGGAAATTCTTGACAGAGCAACTGAAGTGGAGTCGTTTTGGCTAGCACCAAGCCAAAATAGATTTGGCTGTAATTTAAACCTGGCTGTATCCTGTTATGGTAAAGGAAAACGGAGATGCAGGGAGGTTCCAAGGTGTATACCTGCATTTAGACAACTCGCTCGGAGGTGTATGTCTGTGTGAAAATTATGAAAACGGAGGCATGGTTGTAACTGTTCATCTGCCAAACATAACGGAACGTAACATTGACATCTAGTTGAAAACACTGGGCCATTTTGTCAGATTTTCCAGATTTTACTACTGCCAACAGAGCTTGCCGGAAGTCGTTATCCACATGTTTCAAAACGTCTTCTGATTTAGTGATGTAATCTATTCGTGATTTGGACTCCCAGGTATTTAAGACAGGAAACAATCTCCACTGCATCTCCATTGATGTACAGAGGTAAAGGGGCATTAGGTTTCCTGTGGAAATCCACAATCATCTCCTTTGTTTTCTTTATATTGATGCACAGATTGTTGGTTTAGCACCAAGCCTCCAGCTGACAGACCTCCCTTCTCTAATTGGACTCATCGTTGTTCATGATGAGCCCCACCACTGCTGTGTCATCAGCAAACTTCACTATATGATTGGAAGAATAGTGAGCGACACAGTCGTAAGCAGTGTATACAGAAGGGGGCTTAAAACACAGCCCTGGGGTGAGCCAGTGCTGACGCAGATGGAGGAAGATGTGATGTTGTAGATCTTTACAGCTTGTGACCTGTTGGTGAGGAAATCCAAAATCCAGTTGCACAGTATCCTGCTTAAGCCCAGGAGAATGAGTTTGTTTACCAGTGTCTGTGGGATTATGGTGTTAAAAGCAGAACTGAAATCCAAAAAAAGGAGCCTAACATAAGAATCCTTTTTTTCAAGATGAGTTAGAGCTATGTGAACCAGTCCAGATATAGCATCAGCTATAGAACGATTTTCATGATAGGCATACTGATGCATGTCCACAGCCACGTTTATGGACCTCCTTATTTCTGTCATAACCAGCCTTTCAAAACATTTCATAATAGTCGAAGTCAAAGCCACAGGACGGTAATCATTCAAGGTTGACACTGTGCTGCACTTTGGGATAGGTATGATGGTAGCTGCCTTGAAGCACTTTGGCACTACTTGCTGTCTTAAGGAAGGTGTTAAAAATGTCAGTTAGTACCTCAGAGAGTTCATGGGCACACATTTTAAGAGCTCGCCCTGGCACCTTATCTGGACCTGCAGCTTTGCGGGGATTCACCTGCTGCAGGGCTCTCCTCACCTCCGAGGTTGTTACAATGAGAGTGGCGTCACTAGGTGTTACAGTGAACCTGGAAGGAGAGGATGTGTTCAGAGCTTCAAACTGTGCATAAAAGTTGTTGAGGGCATCAGGGAGAGAAGGGTCCCCTGGGCACTCTGTCTCCTTCTTTTTATACAGTCCCTGACAAAAGTCTTGTCGCTTATCCATTTTGTAGAAACAAAAGCTTATAACCTGACTTTAAATTAATTGATTGGTTTTAGAAATGTCTCATATGAAAGCTAAAACCCTCCCAAATTATGCTCAACATACTAAAATAAATTTGCTTCACTGAAGAAAGATTGATCATTTAATGAACACAGAAAGATCAGATTTTGGCAAGACAAAAGTCTTGTCGCCTTGTCATATGATGCACCCAATCCTAGATTACAGCCTCACCTGTGATCAGTTACTGATCGATCAATTAGTGGGTGTGTATAAAAAGAACCCCAGCACACCAGACCTTCACATCAACTGCAACTTGACCTCTGACAACATGCCTAAGATCCACCCTGAGACCAAAGCGTTAATTATCAAGAGGCTGAAGACCAGATCCACTGCTGAGGTGGCTGACACCTTCAATGTGTCTCAGCGTCAAGTACAAAGAATAAGAAGAAGATCTGAAATGACTGGAGATGTTTTTGACAAGCCCAGGTCCGGCAGACCCCGCAAGACAACTGCTCCGGAGGACCGTTTGTTGATTAAAAAATCCAAGGCCAGCCC